GAGTGCAAGGTATGGTGATTGACATACTGCTAGACACTGGAGCTTCCGCATCCCTCATCAAGGAAGCGCTATTAAAGAGACTACACCATAAGGTCCAGCAGAAACGATGCTCCTCAGCATTAATTACCGAACCGAACACTTCTCTACTGTTAAGTCTAATACTGTCTTATAACACACTTTAAGTGGGTCCCCACTAGATGTTGTTAATGCTGAGGAGCATCGTTTCTGCTGGACCTTATGGTGTAGTCTCTTTAATAGCGCTTCCTTGATGAGGGATGCGGAAGCTCCAGTGTCTAGCAGTATGTCAATCACCATACCTTGCACTCTACCTTTAAGGGTGATCGGGATGATAAGATTAACATGACAGGAAGATAAATAGTAAATGTATGGCTCATCTGGCTTTCGAGGTCGGTTATGTCCACATCTCCACGCGTTCTTACCAAACCGTCTGCAATACATACAACCCGTTTGACGACTGCGGTAATTGTTATACGGTGGTCGTTTGTTCCAAGTCGAGTTTGAGGCCCCACGACCAACAGCCCGGCTGGGAATGCGTGCGATCGCTGTGGCTTTCGGAAGACAATCTACATGACTCGGTTCTATGGCTTGTTCCACTGTCATCACTGAATGTTGTTGGGCTTCTGATGGACGTGACAGTCTATCTGCCTTAGTAAAGCGGAGAGCAGTCTTCTTCAAATCGATGGTATTTGTCGGTGGCCTACGAAGTAAGTGTTCTCTTAATGGGTTGTGCACCAGTCCTTCGACGAAGCGAGAGCGTACCAACTCGTCTCGTCCGGCGACATCTAGCTCAGGGAGTGCTTTGACCGCAATTTGCTGTAAGGAATCCAGGTACTCAATAGGATTCTCACCAGCTTTCTCGTGACGTGACAGAAATTGGATTGTCACCTGCTGGTTGTCCACAGGTAGTGAGAAACACTCGTCTGATATATTCCAGTTTCTAGATAGGGAGTTATTTGTTGAGAATCCATATGCTGTCACCCTTTTTACAGCCTCGTCGCTCAAAAACGATACCAGGTAGTCGAAGTGCTCTGAAGCAGGTACTTTACGCAGGTATGCTTCAACTCTAAATTTCCACACTGAATAATCAGACGACGTTTCTAAAAGTGGTGGTTGCCGAGGACTTGCGGTAGTTGTTGCCTTGGCTGGCAGTACTGGGGGTTCCTCTGGTTTTGATTTAAGTTTTCCGGTAGGCACCTCCATCACCAATTGTAACACGCGTTTACAGTAGTCACCGAACAGCGGGTCCGATCTAAAATCGCAACACATAGAGTTAGCTCAACACTTAACACCAAGAGAGAGTTAAGGGACTGGTCCCTCGCTTCGCGTCGTATTTGTAACAAATAGAGTAACTTAAAATTATGCGGTAACACGTTAATCCTAGTTAATGAGTCCAGACAACTCCTGCTTTTAGTACCGCAAGCAAAGACCCAGAGTATTGTGGAGCAAGTTCATCGCGAACTCGGCCACGCCGGAGAACGAAGAACTGAATATGCTCTTCGCAAGCGCTTTTGGTGGCCGTCTATTCACGAAGATGTAGCTGACTTCTGCAAAAACTGTAACACGTGTTGCCGCATAAAATCGCCGAAGCAAACACCACGTGCACCGTTATTGCCGATGGGAACAACTGAATCGCACCGGCGAGTCGGTATCGATATTATGGGACCATTGACGACGACAAAGAAAGGAAATCGCTACATATTAGTTATGGTAGATTATTTTACAAAATGGTGCGAAGCAGTACCTTTTCCGCAGCAAGACGCCCAAACTGTCTCACGGGCTTTCATTGATTATTGGATTTCCTGCTAAGGTGCCCCACTCTCACTCCACTCCGACCGAGGCCCGGCATTCGAAAGTCATCTCGTTGCCGAAATATGCAAGTTATTTGGAATAAGGAAGACGCATACTACCGCATATCACCCGGAAGGTAACGGTCTAGTCGAAAAGACAAATAGAACCATTAAAGCTATTTTACAATCGTTTATCAGCGGGTCGTCATCCGAGTTGTGGGACGAGGTGCTTCCTCAATGCATGCTAGCTTATCGAACATCAATACATGGGTCTACGGGATTCAAACCTTCTATTTTACTATTCGGGCATGAACTACGCCTCCCGGTAGAGATACAGTCGCCTTTACTACCGTACGAAGAACAAGAACACGCCGTACATCCGCACTCTCCGCAACCGTCTGGCTGATGCGTACCGCTTAGTCAACATAAACTCGCGTAGGGCTAGTGACCATCAAAAAGATATGTATGATCGTCAGGTGCAAGGACCAGTGTATAAAGTTGGAGACCGTGTCTGGTTACGCCGTCCCATGACTTCAGTAGGAAGTTGCAGTAAATTCCACCAGCCTTGGCATGGTCCCTTCGAAATCGTCCTCATTCGATCCCCCACGACGGTTGTGTTACGTAACCCGCAAAGACCTCAGGACGATGTAATAACGGTGCACTACAACCAAATAAAGCCAGATCGGACAACAATACCTGCTGATGCTCAGTTCACAGATCCACCACCTGCCGCTAGCTTTTATGAGATACCGCCTGAAGGGGGAGCAGCATATCCCTGTCCTAGACCGGGCACTGAGGAAAGTGCCTCATTAGCAGAGGGGGTGGTGTAACGGAGTCAAAACCACTATGTAGACGTTGCTAACCCATCCTGTTTTCTTTCTATTTCAGGGGGATCTAACACTAACGCTTTGGAAGCAGAAGAACAAGCCCTGAATGCTCTGAGCTTACAGGAGGACTCATAAGACCTTGGCACACCGCCCACTCTATTTCTGTAGAAACCCCGCGTGTTTAGTTTTTAAAAATAAAGATTGCCTTGGCGACGACTTCGTGTTCTCTCTCTCTCTCTCTTGGTGTGAAGTGTTGAGCTAACTCTGTGTGTTGCGATTTTAGATCGGATCAGCTGTTCGGTGACTACTGTATACGCGTGTTACAGTTTGTAGATGTTAGTCTTCACAATTTTTAGCAATATCGTGCTGTAAATCAAATTTTAAGCCCTAGAACAGCACGCTGACCATGAGTTGTAATGGATTTTAGTTTCTTTTTGTGACTGTACCTTTACTCTAACGCTCGACCTAAACCCCCAACAATAACTTCTAAAGCGTCCCTGATATTCACTTTATGATTTAAATAACTGGTTATCGGGTTGATTGTGTAATTTAGTTTAATGATCATTCTACTGGTTGCATATTCCATACTTTAAACTCGTTGCCTCAGTTAGACTATAACCACGAATAGGTTGGTGTATGATCCTTCTGCGTGCTAATTCGTATTCTATTCATTTTATTACTGAACCATATCGGCATTAGACAATCGGTATATACATTGTGGCGATATCTCACACTATCCTACTGTACTGTAAATGTTGCAAGTTTGATGTCTCCATTTAAGCTGAATAAAATTTTATCCTTAGTTTTAGTACCCTTATGGTCGCGGATATTTTTTAAATTTAAGCCTCGGGACTTGAATATGCATTGGTGGGTTATGATGTTATTTCCTGAATGAGGTTTTAATTAAACATGTCAAGTGCCTTTTGTAGTTTGGAGTCAATGTCTAAAGTTATGGAGAGGAATTCCATGATCATTATTTGGTGATAAGAGTGGATGGCTTGCAATTAATATCTTAAGTGTTTTAGTGAGTGCTAATAGAATCGGAGGTTAGAGAGTGCTTAAAAAACCCTGATAAGTCTTCAGCCATTTGGGAAACAGCTTTTCCAGTTGATTAGTTTATGAATAAGACTAATAATATTCTTAGAAACCAACTAATTACGTTTTTGTTTTTCACCAGCTCATCCCTAAACCACACTATCCGATTGTGTTGGGTTTAGTGCCTGTCGAAAATATTCAATCAACCAATCATCTTTAGGAGGAGAAAACAATACGATTATGGATATCTTTTTATATATTGTATAAGTGGAGAAGCTTTTTACAGTTACCTCAACATAGTTACAATTGTTAAGTTCTGTTTGCTTTAAATTTAAGTTTACCAAAACCTAGTCATCCACGTAGTCTTGTATTGTTTCCTCTGTTCATTGAACTACGTCTGTTCTTAAGTGAATTAGTACAACTCTGGTTTTGGTATTGCATAATCTTCAAAGCCTCTGTATTTCTGGTCGTTTCAACATGTTGGCTTTGCAAGTTGTATGTTTCAGTCAATAGGGCAGCTTGGGAATTTGATTTCAGAGTATTAATGACGGATTTCAAGAAGTGACTGCAAATTTGGGAAAATGCCAACACAAGCTGCCTTCTAGAACAAAAGAAGAAAGCCAAGTATTTGAGCTTCCTGAAGGAATTAAAGAATATTTCTACTAATTATTGAAGACTAAGGATATTTCTTTAATTGCTCGCTAGGCAGAAGTCTGTATCTATCTTTTTAGTATCCTTGTACTATTAACACTAAAATGTCCTTTCAAAATCTGTTGTATTAAACATAACTAAACCTCTGATTACGGAAAATATGTCTCCGCAAAAATTGACTTACTTAAAATATCTTGTTTGACTTAGATTTAAAACGACCTGGCCGCCACGTTAGTTTAGTCATAATGTAAAATTAAATTACTCAACAATGTATCTTAAGTTATTTATAAAACAAATACGTGGATTTTATGAAATTTACATGTTTGCAAGGGGGAAGTGAACTAATAAGTTGTAAATTGTAACCAATATGACCCCTTCATACATCCTATTGAGTCAATAACGATAACATATTGTTTGTACTACATATCTCTTCATCGTTTGTACACTTTTGGCGACGGAACCCTGCGTTCGACCCTGGCTCCACCTACCTAGATTTTAGGCAGCCAGGTGATATTGTTAACTATCGTACTTAAATATTAGTGCACGTCCAAGCACCTGCATTTTTTAGACACTCAATTATCCGCTTTATGTTTCATGCAACCTACTAGAATTATTAATTTTCACGTTATTAGTTAGTAAATATGTTGTGACTAATTTAGGTTTTTCACCTTATTTTCCAGGACTATTAAAAAGACGTTTATATCATGCCTGTTTCATTCTGGGTATTATGCTGCTCCAAGTGTTCTATGTTTCAAGTCCATCATCGTTTAAAGTCGAAAAATTGGGTTTGTAAAGTTTGCTCTTGTAAGCAGTCAGTTCTAAAGGTTGGATTTTATTGCCTTTAAAATGAAATTACATTCATTTATATAATTTTCTGTAAATGTTTGCTTAGTTTCTGGTTGCATGCACTTTTTCAGTATATTCACTAATTATCATTTGCAGTAATAACGGTTTTTACTGACCTTGCAACCTAATATGTCTAGTCTAATACAAGTGTTTATTAGTCAAAATTGTCAATCCTCAACGAACTCGGCAAAACAGAACAAAAAAGAAAAATTAAGTATCAAAATATAGTAATAATAATAATAATAAGCGATTAAGAAGAAAAGTTTGATGGACAAAGTGCTGAACTGTGGCCTAAAGGACGATATTGTTTTTAATTTTTGTGCTCAAGAAAAATCGATTTATCTGCCCTCTATGAGACAAACGTCTATAATATCTTACCGTTAATTACAAACACAGAGGAAGCTACCACGTTTCTAGGTCATTAAAAATAACAATCTATTACTACATAGACTGCTTCCATGTCTTGGTTTGATCACCTTGAAGGCTTTCGTAAACTTTCCTTACACTAGTCAGCGTCCCACTTCGAAATTTAACACCCATCAAAAGATGTTCAATGACTCTTTTGTCAAGTTAGTTTTAAAAATTTTATATTTTCTTCGTTGGTGTTCTAATTTTCGTAATGAAATGCTCTCTGCTTTCTATGGTTTGAGATTTGTCATGCCAAAACCATTCCAAAATTATTTTGAAATTTAATGTGAGATATTTTATGTACTACTTCTACAGGGTTTATTTAGTACATGATTCACGTGTTGCACATAGTTTTGACCGTTGGATTCTACCACTTACAATAAATTTCTGCTATGTCTAACTAACCACGTACCTGGTCTCTACGATGGTGAATAATGAAGATCGCAAACATCAACCTGCTGGTTCATTTTAAATTCTAAGGGCTTAATCTTTTAAAAGCTACTGAACTGGTTATCCGATTACATATTTCTGTTTCCGTTCTCTTCTGAGCAAGTAAACAAATAATCGGAATAAACTAACACAAGTTGAGATAGCATGAAGGAAGCAGTGAACATTTTTAGTGCAATGAAAATTATAATAGGTCTGAATATATCAGTTTCATGTTATTTTGGTAAAGGTGATTCTATATACGACATCACTGTGCTTTATTGTGTATGATGGTGGGCATCAATAATATGGAATTTTTACTATGAAGTAATCGGGGTGAAAATTTGAATATACGGAGAATGAATAAAGTTAACTATGGTCGTCTGGAAAAACAGACCAAGTTTAATGAATAGTCAAGCCTCCTTTCCCATTAAGGGAAGAGGGATTCAGCATTATATGTAATCCTTCGGCTACTCATCTCTCTTCATAGTTGGAAAAACCTTTCTTATTATTTTAATATCCTTAAAATCGATTTTTTGGTTATTAAAAATAGCATGTACATATATATATATATATATATATATATATATATAAGTGTCATCTGGAGTTATAACAGTGAGAAGCGTTAAGGATATCTAATGTTTGTTCTACAGTTATGGGAATCTGCTGTTCGCACTCTAAGTTTCGATCGAAGTTGGTGATTCAAGACTAGTTACACATTTAAAGATAATATTCATCATCGGATGATGCCTTTTGATGGAGTACTAAAAAAATTATTTGGGACTGAACCAACTTTAATTTCCTGTAATCAGGTATCTTTAGCTACTGACAGGAGCTGAAGGAGGTTGATCTAACTATTTTCATCATCATTAGTTCTTCGATAGATCGTGTTCTTAAATAATATTACTAACTCTGTTTTGTCTGTAATTTTTGTTTCAATTCAAGGTTTTCGCAGAAGGGGCTGCTCAGGAATGCCGTAAGGTTGTACAAAAATTGAATAAACAAGGTGCTCTTCGTCAGATGACAATGCACGAAAGAGAACTACAATGGAATCCAAACAAGGATTTGCCTAATGAAACTATATCCATGTCCGAAGATGACAGTACTTCAGTTCGAAATAGCGATACTACGGATCCTAACGAGCATTCGACAATACAGTCACAGGAAATCTCCTATCGTTTACATCCGTATGCGAAACCGTCTGTTCCTCAAACAAAAATAAGCAACAGTAACAAAAAAGACATCTCAATTCAGGTAAATATCCTTATAAATATCTTTAGTTATAACACATCTTACATGTTTTTGTCAGAAATGTTAGTTGCAATGTATGTAGTTATCCTAAAAATTTCACTCTGTGTTTTGCCTTGAGTTCATTATTGTGAGGGAATATATTTTTCATATAAGTAATCCTTTAAAATGTCGAACTGTTTTCATATTTCCAGTTTTACTCCAGCTCTACACCAAATAAATTGGATAAACCACTTATTTTTAAATATATCGTCAAAAGGAGGTTAGATCGTTAAATAAAGTACATTTGCAGAAGAGACCTCTACAAATGCTTATCAACTGGTTTGAAGACTGTGCGACATCGGAAAATATTTTTTTATTCAACTCTATGGCGAATAGTTTACGCTACTCTAAGAATTTTAAATAATTCAACCAATTTACTTATTAATATATGATGTCAGTTTCTTTTCAATTATTTATTATATTCTCTAGATTTAAATCCTTAATGTAAATTAAGGTTAAATATACGATACTCATGGTTGGTAACCTGAAGATTCTCTTTTGAATAGGTGTAATTAATTTTAGTAATCACATTTTCACTGTTGAATTGTCTTATACGCAGCTGTCATCTATGATCACTCATTAAGCATTAGTAAATGTAACCCTTACTTAATCTGAAAGTATCTATTATCCGGATCAGCCAATTATTTGTCCAACTTCAAAAATATTTATTGAATAGAATATTTTAACACTATATGTATGGTCTTGATATTCCAAGGTTTATGCTATAAATCAATTGTATCACGTTGTTGGAATTCATTCTTGACTCCAAATAATTGTGTAATCCACTCACATTTCTTGTCACAAAGACAGATAGCTCAGTATATCACTAATTTAGATGATAGTTTAGCATCTCAAGCGTAATAAGTCTTCTTTTCAGCACTAACGCTTACCGGAATATTGTTAGTGGGACGTAGATGGGATTAAAGCATGACTACGTTGCTGCGCGCTGATTGGCCAATTTCCTATCCAATCAGCGCCTAATCGATTCTTGGAGAACAGGGTAGAAAATTCTCGTACTGTTAGCCGCATGCTGATTGGCTAAACCTAATTTAGTCAATCATGTGAATTTCTATCCAGAAGCTTCTCATGTAAATGCTATAAATAAACTAATGTTGTATCTATTTTTGCCTTCGCCTTCGCCATCACCTTTGGCTTCTTATTTCCATTTAACCTTGCTATTTGGAATATAATCTTTTCCTGTTCAACCGTGTTTTTGATTCTTTGGGACTTGTCCAGTGTATTGTGTCGTCAGAGAATACTAAGCAATAAGATTTAGCTGAGAATTATTGAAGTAAGCGTTACAAAAAATATCATACATAATAATATCCTGTTTAAAAAATGTACTGTAGGATCTATTGATTATAAGACAGCACAACATTCTCACAGTTTAAACAGTCAACTACAAATAGATCTTAGAGTAACCTCAGTACTGTTTATTCTTGTTATACCAGTTGATTCGTTCCAACTGCTGTTATTTCTTTACAAAATGCATATATTGAAAATGATCATATTTAATTGTTTCACTATTCGAATTTCAGAATTCTACGACTTCCAGTCAAACAAATCCTTTCTCACCGCTTGAAGAATCACATACTGATTCATCTCAAAGATTTACTTCAAAATGGGATATCTACCTATAACCTATCTTTTAAACAAAAATAAAAGTATAAAAAATTAACTATTCTCGTCAGTATTTATCGTTTCTCGTTAAAAATTCTACTAAAACATTTCTAGCTTCTATTCTTGATAAATCGATGTTATGATTAAGTTTTAAAAAAAGATTTGTATTTATTTTGTTACAAATTCAGCGTGAAATTTTAACGCATGCACGTAAACACAGCATTTGATATGACTGAACTATTACGAGTTTACCTTAGTCGGAAAACGAGAGCGAGGATCCGGCGACACGACATGCTACTCTAATCCGAATGTTCCAACCCCCATTGAATAAAAGAAGAAGACTTGATATGAAGTAGAACATGTATTCTACAAGTAATCAGAAAGTACGATATCTGAGTCCAGAAGAGAATCAGGATCCCGGACTGAGGATCTGGGTCGTGGTCATAAAACGTTACACAATGCGTACTTATAAATTTAGGTTGAATCGGAAAAAACACCGAAGTCTGTGACATTGAAATTCAGGACGACCAATAAGAAACAACATTGGAGTACGTGACATTGATTTCTAAGACGATCACAAAAATGACCAGCAGAAATTAACCAATAGGAATTGACCAATAATTCTATTAGGATATTAGATGAATATCCTAACAGACATTGTTTAGTTTTTCCACAATAAAAATTACTAGCTCTACATTTTGATGGCCCTTTTTTGAATGTTGGGAAGATAAATAAGCTTGCGTGTGACTGAAACTAGAAAACGAACTTTGTGGAATATTAACTGTTTACTAAATAATATTCCTAGAATTGTCTGTTATTAAATCAAATGGATGTACCGTTCATAGATATATTGCAATCATGTTTGTATGTGTATGAATAAGTCAACTAGTATAATGTGTAGATGAAGTTACGTGTATCTGTACTTGAAAAAGGGTATATGAGTTGGCTTTATGTTAATGAGTTATTCTAATCTTCTCAGAACTTGGCATGTGTGAGAGTATACATATCTTTATACTTTTATCCATTGTACTTATTAATATTGCATCGTATTTTAATTAAATGAAGCAGTCTTGTTTGCTCTCTTTAATTTGTTTCTTTGCTGTTACTATCTGTCTTCATTAAAGGATGTATGAATTGTATGCATCCGAAAGCATTCTTCTATTTGACTTGTCTTATTTTTTTATTCCTTGGCTCAAATTAAGTCGATAAATATGTACGAAGTTATATGGGATGCATATTTCTTTGACATCATCCGATCATGATAAAGTCAGACAATGAACACAAGAATGTCATAAGAATAGGAGGTTCAATTTTAAAGAGAAAGTTAGGATAGATATCGTTTGCTAGAATTCTTGAAACCTGTAGACATCCCAGTTCAGCACCGGGATAACAAGAGGAACTCTATTTCCATTTTTGGAATAGAAATAGCATAAAATTGCCGGTGGTTTTTGAATTATTTTGTTCCTTTGGAGGTTGGTAAGCTCATATTGACTGGAAGTGTGCACATTGGGATTGGAATTTGGAGCATTCATCCAGAATTGGAATCGCGCTGCGTTATTATAGAAGGAATAACAGTTGTAATATTGCTTAGGTAATGATTTATATTTATGATTAATAATAGAACCGTTTCTTACCCAGATCACTCTTTTAGGATTTTAACTGGGCAAGGCGCGTATCTAAACTTCCTGAACAGTTGTTCCTAAATCCAAACCTCGGTTTGGATCCTATAATAAGTGAAACACATTTTAAGCCGGGTGAAAAAAGTGTTAGCTTCATGAGTGGTGCTGTGGTACACTGTTAATGAAGAGGAAGATACAACACACACATGCAACATATTGCACGGATTCCATCCAACGAAACTCTGAAACGGATGAGAATCTCATTGACTCAGGATCATCACAGTAACTTCCGAATAAAATAGATAAGATTACAATGAATATTATTCTGTGCTATGCGCTCACCAGCGATAACAATGGGTACGATAAAGATCAGTTCCTAGAGGCCAAAGACAATCATCCAGAATTTTCTAACAAAGTGTAGAATCATTTTTGAATGTTTTGTTTTTTGGAAAATCCCTCCATGTTTACATATTTTTGCTATGACATGACGGATCTTTTCTGTTGACATTTTTGGTACTTTATTTGATTCCAATTTGAGATTTTATCATTGTATATTGTTATTCTTTCTATATTTTGTACTTATATTGAAGTTTTTGTGTTTGCTTCTGAACTGTACATATGTTGTTTAAATTTGATCTTTAATATGGATACTGCCATATTTGGATTGATGCAGTGGCCGCTGGACTTAGCGTCACTTATCTGTCACTGTGTCTGATACTCTTCGGAGTAATTGAACCCTGGAAGAAGCACTATTTCCAGACGCTTTCTCCTAGAATTTTGTCCTTTTTGAATTGATTGGGACCCGGAACTGGGAAAAGCGTACAGGAGTGCCCCGATTGGAACCCATTGGAACGGCCACTGAAGAAATTCATTTATACAAAGGACCTGACCATTCTGGAGGGAGACCTAAATACTGTAGTCGGAAAGGACGATAATGAACATTAAGACATAATGGGACGACATAGTATGGGAGAATGGAAAGAAAAAGATCAGGAATTCTCACATAATCACACAAAGAACGATACGCTTTCACGGATCGCACAATACAGAACGGAATCCACCACATTGGCAACAAAGAGCAGAGTTGATATTGCCCCAGATTATCTTTTCTTGGTGTCCAGGCTGTAACAGAAACGGAAGAGGCACTGGACAACTGGTCGAGCAGCATCACTAAAGTTAAATACTGCCTTCCTTCGGGATACTGGCATATTCGACGAACTGAAGATAGCTTTCAACAACAAGTTCGAGGCTATTCTCGATCTATTCGACGAAGAGGGAACTACCGTAGGAAACCGTTATAAAAGGATTGAGGGGAAAATTACTTCAACATTTCAAGAGGTTCTGGTCCCCAAGAAGTACCACCAACAGGAATGGATCATTGTTTATACACTGGATAAGATTCAAGAAAGGAATGACATGAGGGCAACAATCAATATTTGCCGAATAAGTGCAAAGAAAGCCTAAGCACAAGCTGAATACAGAAGCAAACAAATGAGTGAAGTGTAGCATCAACCTGTCAAACGAAAATGTGTGGTAAATCTAGCAATGATGGTAGAAAATGCTGCAAGAGAAGGAAATATGAGACAACTGAAAGATACAACTTAGAGGCTGTCCGAGAATTACTGTAAACCAGAGGGACCAGTGAAAACCAATGGCGGCGCAGTAATCAGCAGCATTAACGAACAGCGAAACAGGTGGGTAGGGCACTTTCAAGAACTGTTGAATTGACCAGACTCACGGAACCCACTGAACATCGACGCAGCATCCACGGATCTCCTAATAGACTTTGGCCCACCAACAATCAAGAGCAGCACCAGACAACATTCCTACAGAGTCACTGAAATCAGACGTATCAGTAACAGCGAAGCTACTCCACATACTCTTCAGCAAGATTTGGGATGAACAAGAACCAACATATTAGAAAAAAAGATATCTGATCAAGATACCAAAGAAAGGGGATCATAGCTAGTGAAAGAACAGCAGAAACACACCTTTATCGGTAGCAGATTCACTGACCGAATATCACCGGCGACATGACACTCTTGTAGTGAACGAACGAACTCCTAGCTGAAATTAGGAAAAGATGCTGGAGGTGGATGAAACATTCATCTTGGAATGTGATAGACTACGCCAAGAAACTAGTTACTGTTACTATCCGGCCCATAAATAGTCAGGGACAAAGTACTCTTCAAAATCATTTCGGACATGGAGACAAAATATCATCTTAGTAAATAGTGAGGTTAGCAAAAGAATATTTTTTACTCGCAGCTAGGTACATCACCCCGAGTCGGTTAGTGATATTCAACGGAGAACATTGTGGAATTACTGACACTAGTACACTAGGCAGTTTTAAAGTTTTAACAAACCCATTATAGAGGGTTGTGATGATCGTAGGATTTTCGCAGTTTAAAATCACATTCTGATACTAATTAGACTGTATTTGGAAACCAAGAAGCTCTGGACAGTTACTTTGTCTTGGTGCGAGTCTCTACATCAAAACGAATTTATATTACTTATAGCCTCTCTGAGCAAATGCAATGCGTCGGAAAACACGAGCACTGTTCAAATTGGTTGGAAAGTTACTGGAAAGTACTTGCTTCATTTGAGAAGCCTAAGCGTGGGAGAGAAGGTCTTAACTGACTGGTTTTGAATTTTCATGTTTTGCGTGAGTCATGTAAGTCCCTTACGTGTAGGCGTAAGACTTCAAGAGAGTCGCTGTTGTGAGAAAAAGCTACCTGGTCATGTATGTTTGTTCGATTGGGGAATCCTCCTCTGAATACAATAAATATTTGCTTATGGTCATTTGGGCGTTGGCCAGTACAAAATCAAGACACAAGCTTAAAAGCCCTCAGTTCCCGTTGCGATTACTGATATCCCAGGTCCTTTTGAGTGAGAGAAAATATGCTTGGTCTTCGAATGAGAAGATAATATCGAGAATGGTAGGTACAAATGCTTGGTGTCTGGAATTGGTGCCGAAATTATTGTCTGTTGTGCTATAATGTAATTTAAAACAATTAGTCCCTTTCATAGATTTAGATAGAACGTTGAGAAGACGTAGTTGATCTAAAAATGTGATGCATCTACACTTCATTCAATCGTTAGTAGCTGTCAAAGCCACAGACGTAGCCTCAATGTTGATTCATTGTACAACACCGAAGACTAAAGCTACGATCTATATCGGGCTATTGTATAATAGTAAGCAAATCCATAGAACCTAAACTCGACATAAACTTCAAAACTATCATTGAAAATACTCTCAGATTCGATTACATGGTCTAGGAGGGTCGTTTCTTCGAACAACAGGTTGTATTTGCACAATGAACTCGATATCGCAAGGCCACCTTTGAACTAGGTGAAAACGATATAATAGATAGATATCATAGATAAATTCATTATTATAACCAACGAAATTCTCTTCATAAAAGTATTCCATTACAGTTTATTGTAGGCTTATGCTCTAATGTGTTTTAATGACTCGTTAACTTACGAATGTAAATGAGCGCAACAAACGTTGGAAAGCGTTCTTAGTGACGGGCCCCACGTTTTCTTGGATTTACATGGTAAATATGAAGTGATTCTCACCTGAGAAACCGAACCATGCATCAAATCAGTTAATCTTTACTTTGAACATGTTAACCGAGTTGATAAACTTTGACTGTAATAAATTTAGAGTGGATGATTCAGATGTGGATCATGAAGATCCAATCCTTAAACAAGAGGTAATATCACTCAGTAAATTTAAATCTTTATTTAGCTTAACCATCTAATTTTGGAGCAGTTGAGCAATTTTGATCTTAGCGATGAAGAAGATCAGCTAGGATCAGTTGAGGATGACGCTGTGCCAGCTGACTCCAATGATTTGATGAGCATTTTGGAAGCGGGAAAACTGTCATTGCTGGAAGGTGCTATTCAGGATTTTGGAAAGGTATATTAAACGTTTCAGAGTTGATTATTCAATACAATGATAATACCATGGCTTGTAAGCGTGTGGCTCAATATGAGCGTTTTAAAGTTAAAGAAATCTTTCCTGCTTGTCAGAATTCTTAATTTTAGTGCTAGCAAGAGTTCATAGTTTTAGATAACTTTTTTAATCGGTTAAATGATTGGACACCATTATGTGTATGACAGTTTTTATTTGCTGCTATCACGTGGTTAATCAGCAACAGCCCATGAGTGATATGACGTAGGACTGTAACAAGCAATTCAAATGACTAGTCATTTCACATAATAGTCTTTGTTAATTCAGTGATCCGTTCTAATTCATTCAGATAACAATTTTGTGCTGAGATAAAATATGTTTTCGTTAACCCCTGAGGTTCATTGAGACCTATTACACATCAAAAAGTTCTACAGTAATTATATTTTTAGACACCTTTAGTATGATTTACCTAATTATGACCAACTCACTTTCGTTATATCTGAAAGATCTAAGTAAATTTTCACTCAGTCGAGTAGTTTTGAATAGTTTACTGAGGAGCATGACTTATGCATCAGTTGTTAAGCTTGACTATAAACTCTTATTAGTACTGTCAACTGTCAAAATAAAGTAAAACGGCTTGTATAAGAAGTTCATTATGTAGTGCAGCGCGGATATCTAGTTAAAATCTAGATCTGATTAATGGTATATTCATTGGTTTTACCAAGGGAAAATAACCCTGTCATCTGTCAGTCACTCATTTGCAACGTAGAACTTCGTACGTATGTATATAAGTTCACGTTGCCATACCACATGAGCACAGAAAGGCAAATGTCGAATCAAATCCCATAGTGATAAAGATAGTAGAGGTATTAATGGTAATGAAGAAGAATAGGGTTCGAAGATATTATTCAAGAAGTATGATTCAGTGAGATAAGGTTAGAAGACAAAGCTAGAGGTCCTGACGAATCCAGAAGATTAGGATTTGAGAGAGCTCAAAGAATGGATGCACTTGTGCCATTGCAAACGATTTTGAGCCATGTCATTCAAGGTCTCTAACCATTGATGACTTTCGTCTCGCGGACCCCAACCAGGTAGTTTAAATCTACCAGCATGACTCAGTCCACTTGTCAGTGACTTCATGGATTTCTGCCATGTTTTGGTCTGGCCGCCCCTAACTTTCTTCCAACCTACTCCTACACCACAAAACATAGCTCGTCGAGGCAGTCGGTGGTTAGCCATACGTAACACATATCCCAACCACCTCAACTGATGAAGTTTCACCACTTCATCTATTGGCCTGCCATCCTTACCTAGTACTCGTTTCCTAACGACAGCATTGCTTGTACGGTTGTCCCACGATATACGAGCAATGCTTCTTAAACATCTATGATCGAATACTAGTAACCTACGAACATCGTCTACTCTTAACGGCCATGTTTCACAGCCATATAAGAGAACGGAACGAACTGCTGCGCAGTACACCCGTCCTTTGGTTAGCGAACGGATATCTCGCCTACGCCATAAGTGACGCAGGTTGGCAAAAGCCAACTGAGCCTTCTGTATCCGAGCTGAGATTTCGTCAGTCACCAGACCGTCAGCACTGATGAGACTCCCCAGATAAGTGAAGCGATCAACACGCTCGACTACTTCACTCCCTATCACTAGTTCAGGTGCCGATGCAACCCAGTCTTGAAGCAACATTTTGCATTTCGAGGGGGAAAACCGCATCCCTAACATGCTTGCATTGTTGCTTAGGGTAGTCAGAAGACTGCATTTTGTCAGCGTCTTCACCGAATAGAACTATGTCATCGGCATATTCTAGATCAGTAAGCGACTTTCCTGGTAGAAGGTCAACCCCTGAGAAATCTGATAAGGTTAATGTATTTCTTTGGTACGCCTTTCAATGACAGACACTGCCACAGAACCTCACGATCCAAGGAGTCAAATGCCGCTTTTAGGTCCAGGAACACAACTATTGTCGGACGTCTAAATGTGTGTCTGTGTTCCAGGACCTGTCATAGTGTGAAGATGTGGTCTATACAACCACGTCCAGGTCGAAAACCAGCCTAGTTTTCTCTAGTCTGCTCTTCACGAGCTCTAGTTAGACGTCTAAGTATAATTGAGGCTAACAGTTTAGAAACTATATTAGTTAGACTTATCCTCCTGTGATTGTCACAAGACGACTTTTGTCCTTTCTTGTAGATTGGTACAATTAGCGACTGAGACCAGTCATCATGCAGGGTTGGCATGCTAGTTTAAATTCTTGATACATTTTAAAAAGTACTTAACCACAGTCTCACTTTCCTCCTTTCACTGCAATTCATTGAACCTATCTGTTTTGGCTAGTTGTAGACCTTAATGGAACTATTCAGATCGTTCGACTTTTTTTTTTATAAAAGTAGTACATATACGCATCATAGTCAGTTGCATTCCTAAATTCAGATGCGTATATTTTCCTCTAAACAGTTTTCCGGTGATGAAACTACAAATTCAAGTGAATTAACGAATCCAAGAAATGATGGTGAGCAGTCGCGTAATAATCAAGAATTCTTGAAATCGACGGATCAATTCATTCCAAATATCCATAGTTTTCAAAATCCTGAAAATATAAAAAACAAATCTGAGAAGTCTGGAAGTCACAACAGTAATCATTCCATTTGTAATAACTTTCACACTCAAACAAAGTAAGTTAGTTTATAACTTTGGATAAATTTATTTAACTATAAAACCAAAATAATATGAATTTCCCGTAATTTTCCACCACAGAGATGGGAGTTCTGGACCAGCTGTTAGTTTGGACTTGAGTCTTCCAGATGAGATGGCAAATGCATTGTCTGATGTGGCGCAGCACAATGTAATACCATGTGCAACACAAGGTAAAGTCTTTGAATTTTAGACCGTTAGTAAGCTTTTTAAAGCCAGCAAAAAATTCGTGTATTTGTTGACATTTATTTCTGTACTGATGTATTTCCTCTCATGCACTTGATTTTTATCTGCCGTTTCATAGTTTCGAACAGTGCTACACACATTGAGTGATAATTATTGCAACAATAATGAAGTACTTATACTTTATACCAAGCTTCGAAAACCATACTAATTCTGATCATTTTATAATGAACAAATTCACTTTTAACGTAATTTTATCTTTTATTTTGCTTATATGGTCTCTTTCCTACAGAAATTTAAACTAATTCAATGGGATCTATGTACTTGGTTTTGAGTTACTGTTTTAAGATTATTTGTTAACTCACTAAAAGCATAGGTAAGCACGAACTACGACCACCAGATATTAAAAGTCGCACATCAAGACGCTTATTGATTCGCTAAATGTACGGCCTACGAGCATTTCGCCTCTCCATGGTTCATACTACTTGATCTTATCATCCAGTTTAGTAGTAGAAATCCAAAATATTTATGTTTTCCGGTTTTGTTATTTCAAACTAAGATATTCCAGAATCGATTCATAAAACTTTGTCAATCTTGATTCAGCTTCATGTTAATGTTTTCTAATTTCTGTCAGTCTTTGTTTCTACTCTTCTTGATTGTACTGAATCCTTACAACTCGGCCGAAGCTGCTACCTTGACGTGGTGGTCGGGCTTGCCTATCGTGATGACCCAACCGAGCTATATTGGCTGGAACTTATGTTCCTGAAGGTTCTACCATGCCAGGCATGTCGATTGGAGAACGATGAGACTAAAAGCAGCTACCCAAGGTATGAGGGCGAAGTCGTACTGCTGACTGCAGAGAGGTGTGACAGCAGTAAGGTGTTTCCCTCGGAAAACCAGCATCTGCAGCGATGCTGCCTTTTCCCAAGGAAGGAAGGGTTAGAAAATGTCGACCCTCAAAATGTCACACATGACCCTACCTCACGGATTTCTGTCTCCGTCGGTAGGGGTGCCCACTGAGGGCTTTCAAGAGCGGAGCTAATACTAAAAAAGCCTTTGACCTCACCATGTCAAGATAAGGAAGCAACTCGATTTACCCTCCGTGTATCCGGTAGGCCTGATGCTGCTTCCCGGAGTCTCGCTGGTGTAGGTATAGCAGAACTATCTGTCCTATACTGGATCCCAGTAGATAGTCGCTTGTGCGCCGTCCGACTAAACGGGACAGTAAGGATTCGAAAGGATAGGGACACTCGTCGTTGCCTCTTCGTCCTACCAGCCTACGCCCCCACTGACTGCAGTCCAGACGATGTAAAAGATGAGTTTTACAAAAAGATTTCGGACCTGCTCCAAAAGGTTAAGTGCTCTGATATAGTAATAATGGCTGGTGACTTCAATGCTCAAGTAGGTAGACTCAGTGAAAATGAAAGACACCTAGGTGCATGTTATGGTGTCGCGGCTCAGAGAACAGACAATGGCGACCGTCTGTTGCAACTATGCTCAGATAACCGCCTATTCTTAGCGAACACCAACTTTAGGCATAAGGAAAAGCATCTGTTGACCTGGAGACCCTCGAAGTCGTCTCAACGTTGGACTCAACTAGATCACATTGCAATCATCCACCGATGGAGGGGTTCGATAGAGGACTGTCACTCGTTCTGGGGCACATGTTTGGATTCAGATCATGCTCTAGTGCGATCGCGTATCTGTTTGAGGCTTACTGGACATAAGAAAGACACCGTAAGGAAGCCTCTTAGGGTTTTACTTAATGATAATCAAACTAAGAAAATATTTCAAGAGGAACTAGAAAAACAGTTAGGCCTAGAGCTCGTGATGAGCAGACTCGAGGAAACCGGGCTGTTTTCAAACCTAGGCGTGGATTTATAGACCAGATATTCACACTACGTCAGGTCCTAGATCATCGACACTCGTTCAGACGTCCCACAATAGTAGTATTTCTCGACCTTAAAGCGGCATTTGACTCTATCGATTGTGATGTTCTGTGGCAATGTCTGTCATTAAAAGGTGTACATTAACCTTATACAAGCTCTCTACTCGAACACTACTGGTCGAGTACGAACTTAGGCTGAACTGTCATCGGAGTTCATTACTTCAAATGGTGTCCGTCAGGGTTGTCCACTCTCTCCATTCTTTAGTAGATTATTCTTACATAAACTAATAAGTATTGTCTCTGAAACTGTCTTTTTTTATCGCTTAGGTAGTAGTAACTACCTACCTAACTATTGGGAAAATGTACTTTGAAATTAATGATCTGTGATTTAAAATTCTAAGTCCACATGAGACTCTCATCTCACTTTACGGTAATGGTATTTAAGTCATGTTTCTGAACCTATGCATAGTCACTTAGTTATAGTATGATTTTTGATTCGGAAAGGTTTCCATATATATGCTCAATAAAAATAGAATTTTTCATATTTTTTAGAGAACATTTTTAAAGTATCTGTTTTATTCTCACTTTTCATCTAGCTAGTAATGAACCAGGTAAAACTACCCCACTGAAAAATCAATTTATCTCGTGCTTCACTCCAATAAAAACTAGTATTGCTAACGAAAAGATAGATCCTCATTTCTTACCTGACGATAAACAGGATCGTCGTGAATTAATCTATGCCGCTCAAGGACATCAATTACAAGAGCTACAGGCGGAAGTTATTCAGTTGAAAGAATATATTGCCAAAGAAAAACGTTTGTCTAATCATCGTTTACTATTAGATGAAGGTTAGTTTTGTTTGTAGGTCATTTTATGCTATTCTAACTTCCTGTCTCATATTCTGCTTAGTCAAATTCATTAGATGAATTTGTTTTCACAAACTATATTACAATAAACGTAGTCATTCTTAGTTTATCATTGATTGGAGGTCACAAATAGCTATAAAATCAATGTTCCGCTTTATTATTATTATCATCATTATTTTTACTACAATTATGGTTTTTATTATTTATTATCATGATTATCATTATTATTATTAGTACTATTACTACCCAAATTTACATGCCCGTGACCCCAGGCAGTTTGTTGGAAATAATTGTAGGATTGCACATTCTTATTAACAATGCAAGCATGTTCGGGATGCGGTTATCACCCTCGAAATGCAAAATGTTGCTTCAAGATTGGGTTTCATCGGTACCTGAACTAGTAATAGGGAGTGAAGTTGTCGAGCGTGTTGACCGCTTTACCTATCTGGGGAGTCTGATCAGTGCTGATGACCTGGTGACTGACGAAATCTCAGTACGGATACAGAAGGCTCGATTGGCTTTTGCCAACCTGCGTCACTTATGGCATAGGCGAGATATCCGTTTGCTGACTAAAGGACGAGTGTACTGTGTAGTAGTTCGCTCCGTCCTACTCTATGGTTGCGAAACATGGCCAGTGAGAGTAGAAGATATTCGTAGGTTACTGGTTTTCAGTCAGTCAGTCAGTCAGTCAGTTGCAACGTAGAACTTCGTACGTATGTACATAAGTTCATGTTGCCATACCACATTATTAACACAGAGACGCAAATGTCAAATCAAATCCCATGGTGATAAAGATGGTAGAGGTATTAATGTTGATAAAGAAGACTAGGGTTCGAAGATATTATTCAAAAAATATAATTCAGTGAGATAAGGTTATAAAGACAAAGGTACAGGTGCTGACGAATCCAGAAGATTAGGATTTGAGAGAGCTCAAAGAGTGGATGCACCTGCGCCATTGCAAACGATTTTGAGCCATGTCGTTCAAGGTCTCTAACCATTGATGACTTTCGTCTCGCGGACCCCAACCAGGTAGTCTACATCTACCAACATGACTCAGTCCACTTGTCAGTGACTTCATGGATTTCTGCCATGTTTTGGTCTGGCCGCCCCTAACTTTCTTCCAACCTACTCCTACACCACAAAACATAGCTCGTCGAGGCAGTCGGTGGTTAGCCATACGTAACACATGTCCCAACCACTTCAACTGATGAAGTTTCACCACTTCATCTATTGGTCTGCCATCCTTACCTAGTACTCGTTTCCTAACGACAGCATTGCTTGTACGGTTGTCCCACGATATACGAGCAATGCTTCTTAAACATCTATGATCGAATACTAGTAACCTACGAACATCTTCTACTCTTAACGGCCATGTTTCACAGCCATATAAGAGAACGGAACGAACTGCTGCACAGTACACCCGTCCTTTGGTTAGCGAACGGATATCACGCCTACACCATAAGTGACGCAGGTTGGCAAAAGCCAACCGAGCTTTCTGTATCCGAGCTGAGATTTCGTCAGTCACCAGACCGTCAGCACTGATGAGACTCCCCAGATAAGTGAAGTGATCTACACGCTCGACTACTTCACTCCCTATCACTAGTTCAGGTGCCGATGCAACCCAATCTTGAAGCAACATTTTGCATTTCGAGGGGGAAAACCGCATCCCTAACATGCTCGCATTGTTGCTTATGGTAGTCAGAAGACTCTGCATTTTGTCAGCGTCTTCACCGAATAGAACTATGTCATCGGCATATTCTAGATCAGTAAGCGACTTTCCTGGTAGAAGGTCAACCCCTGAAAAATCTGACGAGCTTAATGTTAACTCTAAGAGGATGTCTACGACAAAGTTGAACAAGAATGGAGAGAGTGGACAGCCCTGACGGACACCACTTGATGTAGAGAATTCAGATGACAGTTCGCCATATGCTCTCACCCGTCCAGTGGTGTTCGAGTAGAGTGCTTGTATAAGGTTAATGTACTTCTTTGGTACACCTTTCAATGACAGGCACTGCCACAGAACCTCACGATCCACTGAGTCGAATGCCGCCTTAAGGTCCAGGAAAACGACTATTGTAGGACGCCTAAATGTGTGTCTGTGTTCCAGGACCTGTCGTAGTGTGAAGATGTGGTCTATACAACCACGTCCAGGTCGAAAACCAGCCTGGTTTTCTCTAGTCTGCTCTTCGCGAGCTCTAGTTAGACGTCTAAGTATAATCGAGGCTAACAATTTAGAAACTATATTAGTTAAACTTTTTCCCCTGTGATTGTCACAAGAGGACTTCTGTCCTTTCTTGTAGATTGGGACAATTAACGACTGAGACCAGTCAGATGGGATTACGTCCATTTCCCAGATTCTACCTAGGATCTCGGTCAGTTTAACCGTTAAAACTGGACCACCATCCTTAAACATCTCAGGGGTAAGCCTATCGGGACCTGCCGCTCTACCTCTCCTTAGATTTCCTATAGCTTTCTCAACTTCATGTAAACTGGGAGGACTTAAATCGATTTGCCATTCAGGATGACTGGAGATCGTGGGCAACCGAAGAGTGGCTGAATGCCTGTTGAACTGATCCCTAAAGTGTTCTGCCCATCGGTCCAGCCTCCTAGATTGAGAATGGATAATAAGACCATCCTTTTCCGAGATAGTCTCACTTACATTCGGGTTCCTAATACCGGTTTCTTTGATAAGGCGGAAAAGTTGTCTAGTGTTGCCTATCGCCGCTGCCTTTTCCATCGCTTTTGCTTTCGCCACCCACCACTGTTCACGGTCGTTACGTAGTTACTGGTTTTCGATCATAGGTGTCTTCGAAGCACTGCTCGTATATCCTGGGACACCCGAGTGAGCGACGCTGTTATTAGGAAACGGGTGCTAGATAAGAATGGCAGATCAATAGATGAAGTAGTGAAACTTCATCAGTTGAGGTGGTTGGGTCATATGTTACGTGTGGCTAACCACCGACTGCCTCGACGAGCTATGTTTTGTGGTGTAGGAGTAGGTTGGAAGAAAGTTAGGGGCGGCCAGACCAAAACATGGCAGAAATCCATGAAGTCACTGACAAGTGGACTGAGTCATGTTGGTAGATGTAGACTACCTGGTCGGGGTCCGCTAGACGAAAGTCATCAATGGTTAGAGACCTTGAATGACATGGCTCAGAATCGTTTGCAATGGCGCAGGTGCATCCACTCTTTGTGTTCTATGAAATTCTAAGCTTCTGCATCCTCATAATCTTTACCTTTCTCCTTCTATATTTATCTTACTGAATTATTCTCCTCGAATCATATCTTCACTCCCTAATCTTCTCCATTGTTGCTGATACTTCTATTTTTGCTATCACTCTTGAATTTGAACTAACAGTTGCGTCTCTGTGATGATGTTGCATGGCAACGTGAACTGATGTACTTACGTACGAAGTTCTGCGTTGTATCTGACTGCCTGTCTGCACATTCTTATTCATGTGCTTAATTTTCGGTTTCTTGTCGACTTTTGACTTTATTTTCTGTCAGCGCTGATAAGAAATCTAATGTAACTGAATGGTTTTCAAATACCGGGATAATCTGTCTCTATTCAATTTAGCGATATTAGACGTTCTTTTGTTGTATTCACCAGTTGTATAGTCGTCATAATTTAATTCATAAGTATTGTGTTTTAATTCATTCTCTTGTTCATCATTAATTTAGGAGAGAAAGAAACATTACGTTCTAAATTATCAGCAACAGAAGATATTGTTAAATCATTATATAAGGAGCTTGCTGCCAAAGAAGAAAATTCGGAAGTTTTACAAAAACAACTGCAACAAAATGAAGAGTCTCAGAAAAAGGTTTTTTTGTTTTTCTCATTAAATTTTTACATTTTCTGCAATTCAAGTTGACCAACTATCACCCCTGTTTTAGTTAAGCTCCCTAGTTTGTTCGAATTAAAAACAACTTCAGTTTTGTAGTATGAAGGTAGCTAGAAAGAGAATGTAAGAAATACTTAGGTAGTTGTTAATCGTATTTAGACGCTCAGTCAGTCAGTCAGTTACAGCTCAGAGCTTGTTATTTACGTACATCAGTTCAAGTTGCTATACCTCAGTAACATAGAGAGATGGGATCTTCAAACCGAATCCTATAGTAGTAGAAGTATTAGCTGTAATGGAAAAGATTAAGGATTGGAAATATGGTTCGAGAAGTGTATTCCAGTGAAATAAACTCAAGAAGAGAGAAATGGTCATGAGGAATTCGGAAGATTAGGACTTGAGAGAAGGCAAAGAACGGATGCATGTGCGCAGTTGCTAGCAATTTTGACGAACACCAGTTGAACTAATCAGTTCCGATGGCAGTTCGCCATAAGCTTGAACTCGACCAGCAGTGTTCGAGTTGAGAGTCTGCACAAGAATAATGTACTTCTTTGGTACTACTATCAATGACGGACACTGCTGCAGAATCTCACGGTCAACGGAGTCAAACGCCACCCTAAGGTCAAGGAATACGACTATTGTCGGACGTCAGAAAATGTGTCTATGCTGTAGGACTTGACGAGACGTGAATATCTGTTCTATACATCCACGTGTAGGTCTGAAACCACCCCAGTTTCCCTGAGTCTGCTCTTCACGAGCCTTTTTTAGACGTTGAAGTAATATTGAAGCTAATATTTTGGACACAATATTTATTGAATGGTGGATCAGAAATTTGCATTAAATATATGGTGTTAGATTCAGATATATATATATATATATATATATATATATATATATATATATATAAAGTCAGTCGCAACGTAGAACTTCGTACGTAAGTACATAAGTTCATGTTGCCATACCACTTTAGCACAGAGACGCAAATGTCAAATCAAATCGCTTAGTGATAAAGATAGTAGAGGTATTAATGGTAATGAAGAAGACTAGGGTTTGAAGATATTATTCAAGAAGTATAATTCAGTAAGATAAATTTGGAAGGAGAAAGGTAAAGATTATGAGGAATGCAGAAGCTTGGAATTTCATAGAACACAAAGAGTGGATGCACCTGTGCCATTGCAAACGGTTCTGAGCCATGTCGTTCAACGTCTCTAACCATTGGTGACTTTCATCTCGCGGACCCCAACCAGGTAGTCTGGATCTACCAGCATGACTCAATCCACTTGTCAGTGGCTTCATGGATTTGTGCCATGCTTTGGTCTGGCCGCCCCTACCTCTCTCCCAAGCTACTCCAACACCACAAAATATAGGTCGTTGCGGCAATCGGTGGTTAGACATACGTAACACATGTCCCAACCACTTCAACTGATGAAGTTTCATTACTTAATCTATTGATCTGCCATCCTTACCTAGTACTCGTTTCCTAACGACAGCATTGCTTGTACGGTTGTCCCACGATATACGAAATACTCTAATTATTCACTTTGATGTATTCAAGTGTAGTAATATGTATTCATTTATTTTTTTCAGTTGAATGAAGAACTTTTAGCTTTACGATCAACTAATGAATCATTATCAAGTCAGTTAATTGAGCTTACCACGGGAAATGCATTAAAACGAGCTGAAGAAAGAGAAGCACAATTAACCGAATCACTAGAACAACGTTTTATGTCAAAAACCGATGAACTTAAAGCCGAACTTAATACAACTCAAAGACACTTAACTGAAAAGGTTAGATATATGGAATCGTCTGTTTTACAATCAGTTTCGCTGCAAAAGTAATCATATCTTAGTTTGTGGATAACTCATTCATGTTAATATTTATTTTAATTACTGTTCTATGGGATCCTTTGTGAGTATTCTAGGTGTTATCAATGAATTTTCTAAAAGTAATTTTGTGTCAAGATTGTGTCCAACGTTTCATCTTGTCATAGACCCGAAGGTCCCAGGTTCGAATCCTGCCAGGTGCAGGAGTCGTGGATGCGCACTACTGATTAGTCCCATACCAGGACGAAACGGCCGTCCAGTGCTTCCAGGTTTCCAATAGTGGTCTAACAATGATTGATTGATGATTTCGAATATACATTAGTTGTGATCATGTCTTTATTTTTTGTACTTGTCTAATTTAGGAAGTTGAAGTGATTGATTTACGTCGACAACTAGAAATATCTAAGGCTGAGATGCTTAAATCACAACAAACTTACAATGAAATGATAAACGAGGCTAATAAACAATTAGAGGAGGCTCAAAAGCATTGTCAACAACTTGCTTCATCTGGTATGTACTGTATTTTTATTCTACATTATTTAGTTGTGATTTGTTGTCTTAAAAGCTAATAAATGTCGGTATAAGCTTAGGCATATTGTCGAGTTTTATTAGAATCATAAACTGGTCAGTGTTAGACTACCATTAGAAACCTGTAAGTAACTAGGTGCCTTGAATCTTCACTTTACTGTCTTAGCTTGTGGTGTGAGCTACTTATAAGTAGTATATGACGTGAGTGTCAACATAATGTCTGGCAGCAGAAGATGGGGTAAGATCAAGAAAGGAAGAGTTAGAACACAATGGAATTTGTATGAAACGCATGAATAGTGACAATGGATTGATGTTTTGCAACAGGAACAGTCCAGTTCGATATGATGAACTGATATTTTGCAAATTAACGATTTACGATATGGTTTTCTTATTTTACTGAGTAACTCTGTAATTTTCGTTAAATACAATTTGGTTGTCCTCACCTGTGTTCTCGTTCACTACAAGCTTATATGTCATGTTTATAGTATATTAGTCGAATTGATAAATTTACTAGTTGAAATAGTCATATGTTAAGTGTTCAGACTATTGGGCTACACTTTCAAACCTAAACTTTTTTTAGCAACCTGAATTGCATCGTTGTCCGTATGAGATAATAGGGTTGCTTCACACTTCAACACTATAATATCACACGTGTTTACAACATTGATGTTTTACAAAGCTTTTTTATCATGCTTATCAAATTCTGAATAAGTTGGCATTTATTAGAGATATATTCTATTTGAAATCTTTACTGATTCATACGTTGTTTTTTTTTCATTTCCTCCTTAGCTTTATGCTCAGAAGTGACTTTATTAAGACAAAAAGTCATTGAACTGGAGACTTCAAAAAGAATAACGGATGATGTGAACAAGATTTTACAAGTGAGGTTTACGTATTGCATTTTTTTATGGAAAACTTTCCAACTAGAGAAAATTAAAATTTCAAACTTTACCAATGAATGAAGCGTTTTTACTGTTTTGTTAAATATTTCAAATTTTTAGTTTAGTTAAGGCCTGACTGTCTATCTGTTAGGATATTCACCAAATATCCTAAGAATACTATTTTTAGAAGTGCAATCTTATTGGTCGATTTCTATTGGCCGAAATTATGATCGTTCTTACCGTCAGGGTCAAATACTTCAATGTTACCTCTTATTGGTCATCTGGACGGTCAATGTCATTCAAATGTCCTTTTCTATTGGTCGTCCTAAATTGTCAATGTCACGGACGTTGATGCTTTTTCTTATTCGACCTTAGTGTATAAATACGCGCTATCTTGAAGACTTAATAATTCCGTTTCCCCTGCCTACTTCTTCTGTTTACGACCCAATAAACATCTTCCTGCCACGGTGTTACGTTCTGATTTCTAGGAGATTTGGGAAAGCCTTTGGGTCGTTTTGTGATATTTGAATTGGACGCCGTTAGGACTGAAGATTTACGTAGCCGCGTTTACAACACTATCTTGTTAATTAATGTCCAAATAGTCTATAATTCCTTAATAGTATGACACTTGATGATATTAGTGAAATTACAATTCTGAATTCGTTCAAAGTGATTCCTTCTATGTTCCTGATATTACTCACTGATCTTAGTTATTAAAAAAGTAACACGAAGAGTTAACTAGTTACAAAGCTAACCATAAAAACATGTTGATTTAAAAAGTTCATTTAAGAGTTTAACGCTTCCCAATAGTGCTTTTATCAGTCTATCATAACTTGTGTACAGTTAGTAATTTCAATGTACTGTATTTTACTAAAGCATTAATTTGGATAAGATAATAAAATAATCAAGCAGCTTATAGACAGTCAACCGAAACAAAGAATAATAAAGTGGTTACGAAGTAAAGATCGTACAGAGTTTGTTTCATTTCGTAAGTCCTATTCAGTAAGTCTACACCGGCAGAGCACATATTAGCATGTAAAACGCAATGTTTGAACTGTCGAATCAGTGTTTATTTACAACTTCTTTGATTCACTCTTACTGCTGTTTCTGGAACTTTGAGTCTAATGTCAACACTTACCATTACATCACAAACAAGAAGTGTTGCAAAGACATTTTTTGTACTTTGTATTTTTGATTTTTATTTATTTCTTCATGGTAATAGCCATGTCAGACTAGCCGTAAACTCGTACAAAGTTTACTGCTGTTAATTATATCCATAATTCGTCAAGCAGTCAGTTATTTTACACTAACCTTATATATACGGTTCAAGTGGATGAATATCACCTGAATCTTTTGGATTCTGGTTGAGGCTTCTCCGGCGACTAGCATATCAAAGCTAATGTGACATCAAAAGCAAGTACAATGGTCTAAATGTTTTTTCATGTGACTCTTTGGTTTGAACGAACTACTGTCATGATCACTCCTCATAGTTATTATATTTAACGGATGCGAAGTAACATCAAAATCCGTATTTTCTTATCTTATAGTAAAATCTAATAAACACTTTTCTTGAAGACTAGTTTTAGCTTTATATGTTAGCTAAAAAATGATAAGTCATTCTAAGAAGTTTTTTTATCAGAATTTCAATTAACTACCATTCTTGTCAACAATAAATTGCCGCCTATATTAGATTTATATTAGACTATCATTATAATCTTTTCGTATTTAGAATGAACTGCGAGATTTTCGTGATCAAGTTAGTATCTACGAGAGTGTTTTAAAGTTAGATGTTTATTCCATGAATAATGGTATTGATGAAAATCAATTATCATATGATACAAGTGAATTTACACCTATTAGTATAAAAGGACGCCATTCAGGCAAATCTGTTGCATTCGCTGATACAATTGAACCTATTCATCATGCGAATCTTCGTCGTCGACGTCCATGTTCAGCGGTTGAACAGCCTATTCATAGAACGGATGATAATGTTTGTACTATTGCCAGTTGGAATTCAGATGAACAGAATTATCGCTTTCAACGCAATTCGTAAGCTAAAGTTTTGTCTTTTACTTCAAAGTTTTATTATGATGTAATGATGTTTTACTAATTAATTCGCTCACTAGGTACTTACTTTTGAGTTGCACTCTAGGTGTGAGGGCTAACGATATTTAGCTGGTTGCCGAATTAGGTGGAGAGAAATTCAAACCTGGAATACCTTGAATACCTTAACCACTAAACCGCCGCTTCACTTTATACAACAAGGTACTGAGAAATTCTCTACGTATACTCCCAACGGATAACTGTTTCAGGCCTGTCACATGTCTTTTTGTAGGAAGTTTGTAATGTGTTAGTTTCATGTTCCAAGAGACCTTACTGTCCGAGGTAACAATTCGTGCGGCAAGGTGAGGTCTAACATTTTCAGGGTTGATACTGTTATAACTGACACACCAATCCCATATATTCAAATATTAAGCAGTAGCTTAATGGCTACTATATTCAACATTCAGAAACTACGACATAACCAATGCTTAATTTTGAAAGTTGCTTATATCTCCTGCCTTGGTTTAGTTTATTATTTGGTGCTAAGAAAATTTAGAGTTATGTCTTAGATTGCCACCTTGCGCTCATACTTTTATCATATCATAGTAAAAATCAACATCTTTGAATAATATGTCTGATATATATACATATAACGGATATTTTAGGGGTGACAAACAGCAACCGTGCATTAACAGTGATGATCTTGCAGATAAAGCAGGCGAATATGATGAACAAGGTGATTTATTCCACTCATTAACTCGTCAAGGTATATTAACTAGTACACCTGCAGTGTCAGTAATATCACCGAAATCACCAATGGCTAAATTACGTAATGAACTGGAACGTTGTCTTTTAAACTACAAGGCTAAACGAGAACAAGTAACTAAACTTCATGAAATTTTATATACAACACGCTGCCAATTACATCAGTCAAGAGAAGCATCAGAAAAGGCTGAGAAATCAGCTAAACTTTTACAGGTAAGCTTTATCGCTTCTCTATGTCAGTAATATTTAACTAATAACTTTATATTTTCAATCACCTAACCTCTTAACATACTATTCGTGGTGTTGGGTCACATAGACTAGTGACTACATTGCGTTTTAATTGATCGAATGTGGCCAGCATTAAAATGACAAGACAAATATGACATAAGTTACTATTTAGAGATTGATCAGTTGTTAACATTTCAGTCTTATCAGAGGTCAACTGCAACCCGAATATCTCAATCGTAATGTATTGAATTTTGAACTAAGATGATACGGGAGTGAGTTGATCAGAGAGCGCCAGTTCTCCCAAGATTCCATGTCTACCTTGTTACCGAATGCTGAATATCACAAAACTCAAATTTAGGGTTTACTATGAACCATCTCCAATCGTCTAACAAATAATTTGATATAAGGACATTTTTCTAAATTAGACAATCTATGAATTTGCTTCTATGTTATTGTACACTTTCTTAATGAACGACATTAGTTTCCATAAAACTGTTTACTTGTTGAGAGAATATCTAGTTTTTCTATAATTGACTTTTTTATATACATGTTACTCTTCCAAATGTGGCTTTGCTGCATTTTGCTATTTTCATCCTTCATATATTACTTCTTTTTGTAGGAACGTGTTCTATCTTTAGAACAAGAGTTATCTACTTTACGTATTATTGGCGACAATCCTGGGCCAAGGGAACTCCTACTTAGTGGTCAGTTAGAGAGGTTAAGAGGGGATTATAATCACTTGGAAGAAGAGTTACAGGTTAGTGGAGTCTATAGTGTTTCTACCATTCTCCTCTTTCTATTCATTACTGTCTATACTCGAAAGGTTGAATTTTTCTTGTTATCTAGGCAACTCGTACACGTTTACAAGCTGCACTTGGTGCAGAAGCTAAAGCACTAGAAGCTGAGAAAACTATCAGTGAACGTTTAGCTGCAAGTGCAGCAGAAAGAGATGCAGCTGTGGAACGTGCTAAAGCGATGTGTGAAGCTCAATATATTGCAATGCGTCGCCACTTGGAAGCAGAATGGGCCAATGAAAGAGATACTAATACTCGTCGTGCAGAAGAAAAACTTGCAGATACTAAGTAAGTATCTCAATTTATGCTCGATTCTCTATTCATTCTCGTAATTTGATAATTGTACTACTGAATTCATGTGGTCGGAAAATTTGAAATCAAAGCACGGTACTATTGCAAAAATAAAACTGGACATAAGTTTTACAAACCTCATATCATAAGGTATTTGTGGGTTAAAGACGATCAGAAATTATTTCTTCCAAATAACTGGATAATTGTTAAGATATTCATCCAATATCCTAAGAGAATTATTGGTCAACTCTTATTGGTTAATTCCTACTGGTCAATTTTATGGTCGTCCTAGATATCAATGTCACGTGCTCCAATGTTGTTTCTTATTGGTTGTCCTGAATATCAATGTCATTTCAAATGTTACTTCCTATTGGTCGTCTTAACTGTCAATGTCACAGATTTCGATGCTGTTTCCTATTCAACCTAAATGTATAAATATGCATTATCTATAACGTTTTATAACCAGGAACAGGTCCCGGATCCCTAGTCCGGAATCCTGATTCTCTTCTGGACTCGGACCTCGTACTTTCTGGATGCTTGTAGAATACAGGTTCTACTTCATATCATGTCTTCTTATTTTTTACTCAATATAGGGGTTGGGACACTCGGATTAAAGTAGCATGTCGTGTCGCCGGATCCTCGATCCTCGCTCTCGTTTTCCGACTAGGTAAACTCGTAATAGTTCAAGCATATCAAAATGACGTGTTTACGTGTAGGCGTAACAATGATCAAATGAAAACATACCACTATTGTGACTTTTCCTAATTGAATTGTTATATCTTGAAATCTTCAGTTAAAATGGCGGGTGTTTAGATATGGTGTATCAACGATGTCATTTTTCGATACTAATTATATTTTACCATTTCTTACTTTTGTTTTATTATACATCTTTTCTATCAGCAATCAAGTGCAGTTACTTCAAGTTAGCGTATTTATTTGAATTCAAATCTCTTACTATTGAGTTAGGTGCACGACCCTTAGGGCCCCAATTAGGGAGTAGTAATGGAATTTCTTTAATATTGAATATAGAGTAATAAGTTATCAATAAAAACTTTTCTTTTGAGGTCATACATTCTAACCCTACTGGATTTACTTTGGCTTTAAAGATTCATATAAACAGCGTGTCTTAAAACTAGGTGTATGAACCTCTATGGGGCGGCAACTAAGGTACATTTAAATTAACGTTGTATTAATATTTTCATAAATTTTAGGAAAGCATTATACGAGATGGAACGAGAAGTTCATCGAATCACAAATTTATATCATGAAAGTCAAATATCTGCTAAAAAAGCTGTTGAAAACGCTCTCATGGAGGTGAGTTATATATTTTCGACTAGTAAAATTTTTCTGCATACCTCTCTATTGTGGTGTTTTTTTATGTACAGATACAAGGCCACTAATTTCTATTTCATTGTACCAGCGAAAGGTAACTGGTTCAAAATTCGTCTGTTTAAAATATTATTTCGACTCTCAGTTACTACATAACTACATTACCAGCTGTATATTTTTAGCATTCTGAATTCGTCATTGATATGAAACATTAGTGATTAGATTCGTTGCAGGGTAATTGCCACAGTTCTAAAGACAAACCTTATCTATTAGAGTTAAACAGTGTAGGCTGCAGAAACAACATGAGGTGATTTCACAATATCATAGGTTGATTAAAGTTAGTCATATACACACTAAAAAGCGACCCATTTGTCTGGAGGTTAAACTGTTTCTCGCCAAACCAAAGACCCTGAACTTGATCATCGATGCTGATGTGGATTCGCACCACTGAAACGTCTTATGCTAAAACAAATAGCTGTCCAGTGCATTTCGATTTTCACTCGTTGTCTGACTTAAATCAGTGTGTGATTTTTTAAAATATTTCAGCTTTTTTAGTCGTAGAATTTCTTGAATAGTTAGAAAACCATTTTTATATTAATTGGTGTGACTACATATTTTCACAGATAAACGCGAAAAACGAAACATATTTTATCAGGAAAGGTTAAGATCCATCAATACAATAGTTCAAAATCTCGTTTAAATCATTTTTGAATCAGCTGTGTAATTCAATAAACTATAAAGCGTGCCGAATGTATAGTCATTATCCACACTCTAAGTACACAAAAATGGCTGTTTAGTTTGAGGCTAAAATGATGATAAGCTTAGGCTAAACCACTGAGATCGCATCAATGTTTCTTTACAACACTTCAAAAATCATATTTATAAATTCCTTGTATTTATTTATTTTCGATAAATTTAGATGATGCAATAAAAAAGAAGTTGAACTACGTCTTTTTATTGTGTTATCTAAATTCTGTGTCTATATACACTTCTGCAGATATTCGATATTCAGACGCGTCTACCTTAGCTTCTTGATCTGTAATGACTATATTTTTTTGTACTTGAAATGTTTGTGCAATCTTAATTTGTTTTCATTGAATCTCATCACATATATTACTCTGTTTTATCCTATGTTTAGATTGAACCTCAGTAGTATGATATTTTTGCATGATATATATTTCAGGCTATGAAGTTGAGAGAAGCAGAAAGAATGCGGTTTTGGAGGCAAGAGCTACCGGAACAAGTAAGAGTTGTAAATATTCACTATTCTTACTTTCTATGTAAACGGTCCCGTTTATTCAAATTGTTGGGGATGTCAGGTCCCTAGAACTCGCTTGATAAATATCTTTATCTTGGATTTATTTCGTGAGCCGATCAGTTGACCTTGAAATCACATTTCTCACCAGGAAGATCCTTGGCTGTGATTGGTTACTGTGTCATTTTAGTGTGCTATTTTTTGGCCGTCCCAAGGACGTGTCTATGGTGTATAAATAAACGCGATTTGTGTGTTTGGATTCATTGTCTGCTGTCGGAGTGTTTGTAGAATACACTTTCTACACTATATCGAGACTTCTTGGTTATGAGGAATTCGAGAGATTAGGATTTCAGATAAGACAAAGAATAGATGCATTTGCGCCATCGCAAACGATTTCGAGCCATGTCGTTCATGGTCTTTTACCGTTGGATATTCATGTCTTGTAGACCCTACACCTGCTAACATGGCTCACTTCAGTTGTCAATGACCTCATGGTTTGTGCCATGCTTTTGTCTGGCCGCCGCTAGTTTTCTTCCACCTTACCCCTTCATCACGAAACATCACTCTTTGAGGCAGTTGGCAGTCGGGCATCTGTAACACTTGTTCACACCACTCCAGCTGATCAAGATTCACTACTTCGTATACCACCCTTACCTAGTACCCTTTTCCTAACCTTAATATTGCTTGCTCAATGTTACTAGGATATACGAGCAGTTGTTACTGCTGTAAAGTTCGACCTGACAATTTTATCTCTGTGTTCTGATGGTGTGTGGCAACTTGAACTGACTTACATACATACCGAGTTCTACGTTGCAACTAAATGACATCACAAACAATAGGTTATTCCAGTACGTAATAATAAGATAAACCTTGAATATTGATAGGGTAATCAGTTTCATAATCAAAATTAAACTCACTTAGTGTTAATTACATTTTCGATTACTCTCTCTTTTATTTAACGCTTTGATTGAGTACTTAATGTACACACTTACCTTCTACAGATTGAAGTCGCACGGCAATCCTGGATTTCGCAAATGAAAACACAAAATTCAGGTATCAACGCTTTTCGTGAACTTAGTAAGTTCTACCCACAAGTTATCGTTTTTTGAAATTATTGGCTATTCACATTATTGGTTACTACTTAGTTCCTTTGACAGTAATTTCATTTAAACATATGCTACAACTTAGTTTAAAAATAGGCTATTAAAGAACTCGAAACACGATAGTAATGACTTGTCAATATTTAGCAGTTGTAAACTGTTGGGGAGGTAAGATCCCCAAAAGTCACTGGGAAAAAGTCCTAATTTTGTAATTTATTTCTGAAATTATGAAGTTTTATGTTTTCGCGCCAGAGACGCTTAGTTGACCTTCAGCTTACATTTCTCACTCGGGAAATCCTTGACTGTACCAAGCTTATGGATTTTTTTAATGTGTTCTTTTGTGGCTCTCCCAAGGGCGTTGCTCTGATGTATAAATAAGGTTGAGTTGTATGTTTAGCAACGTCAATCTTTCTGGGTGCCTGTAGAATACATTCTCTACACCTTATCAAGACTTTTGCCTTTGTTAACGCGGCCTTGGATATTCGGATTGGAATAGCCTATCGTGTCACTGCATCATTTATCTGCGCTCCGTTTACCGAGTAAGGTGAACTCGTAATAGCATTCAAGCATATCAATTGACGAGCATATCATAAACATGTTTCATCCTAACAGAATGCGATATTCGTTTACTTCAAAAGCATTTTTTTTGTAATGTAGTATGATTACTGATGTAGGTAACACATTTTTTTATAATGTATTTAATATGCACTTGTATTCTCAATGTTCGTTTCATTCTTGTTTGGTATATCATAAAGAAGGCAATATTAATGTGCTTCAAAATGCACGAAGTTCATTACAAAGGATGATAATAACCTGTGAATGATTTCGTGTATACAATGGTTGTACTTTTTTCACTATGATATGAATCTGTACTGATGTTTTGTTATTTACATGAAAATTTCTACATATGATGTGCAGGTGTTATCTGTTCTGTCTGTTGTTATATGTGTGATCATCTTCAAGACACAGTAAATAAGTACACGTTTATGTATTACGTTATCTATTCGAAAATTGCAACCTAGCCAGTGAGTAACTTAAAAATTTGGAAAACTAAAAGACAAGATATCTAGAAAATGGTGTTTTTATAAAGATGTTTCAGGATTAAATATACAGTCAAAGAATAAATGTATCCTTTCACTGAGTACAATTGATTAGAAGAAAAAAAACATGACTGTTGAACATGCAACTAGGATTAGCAAAAATAAGTTAAGCGGTGTTTTGCACAGAGCTAAACCGTTCTCAACAAGTGCTATATGGGTTGGAGTTTAAAAAATATTTTAAAAAGGGATACAAGTAGGAGGAAGAGCTGAGACATAAAAATAAGAATATAAATTGAAAACAAGGTAGTAGTGTGGTGCGCGCTACTTATAAGTAGTATATGACGCGAGTGTAAACGTCATGTCTGGCAGCAGAAGATGGGGGCAGATCAAGAAAGGAAGAGTGGGAACACAATGGAATTTGTATGAAACGCATGAATAGTGAAATGTCAAACAATGGTTTGATGATGGATTGAAGATTTGCAAATTAACCGTTTACGATATGGTTTTCCTATTTTACTGAGTAACTCTGTAATTTGCGATAAATACTATTCGGTTGCCCTCACCTGTGTTCTCCTTCACTACAGTAGTTCATTGTAATATTGTATTTTACAATATACTAATCTTTTGATCATAACAGAAACTGTTATGCATGCACGTAAACATGTCAATTTGATAGGCTTGAACTATTACAAGTTTATCTTAGTCGGGAAACCAAAGCGAGGATCCGGCGACACGATATGCTACTCTAATCCGATTGTCCCAACCCCCCATTGAGCAAAATAAGACAAGAGTTGATATGAAGTAGAACCTGTATTTTACAAACATCCAGAAAGTACGAGGTCCAAGTCCAGAAGAGAATCACGATCCCGGACTAGAGATCCGGGCTCGGGTCACAAAACGTTACAGATAATGCGTATTTACACGCTTAGGTCAAATAGGAAACAACAACATTGAAGTACGTGAGTTCTAACTCGGAAAGCCTCGTACGATTAAGACCATGTTAGTATATCTTGTACGCTAACTTTTTGATATTTATCATCATTTCTTTTAGAGGATAAAGGCAGTCAGACAGAAATGTGTTTACCAGTGAACACTGCCGTAAACACGTCATATATAGCTGAATCTACCGCATGTGTTCAAACTGTAAGTGACCCAAATTTTTTATTCTTTCCAAGTTTTAATTAAATTCCATGATTTCCCATTCAGTCTTTCTAATTAAGCTATTTTTTTTACTATTGTGATGTGTGATCTCTCGTAATTCGTATAACAAGTTATCAAATAGTTAAATTACAATGTTTTTATTTATGTCTCGTAGTCATGTATCTTTTATGTTCTTATCTGACTATTAAGAATATGAAAATTAAGTTTTTTCTAGGTGAAATTACAGAAATCATTTAAGAAATTTTATGCGTTACGATCAATTTCAGTTTGTTAGGATATTCATCCAATATCCTAAGAGAATTATTGGTCAACTCTTATTGGTTAATTCCTACTGGTCAATTTTATGGTCGTCCTAGATATCAATGTCACGTACTTCAATCTTGTTTCTTATTGGTCGTCCTAAATTTCATTGTCACTTCAAATGTTGTTTCCTATTGGTCGTTTTAACTGCCAATGTCACAGACGTCGATGCTGTTTTCTATTCAACCTAACTGTATAAATACGCATTATCTGTAACGTTCTATTGACCGCACCCGGACCCGGATCCCTAGTCCGAGATCCTGATTCTCTTCTGGATTTGGACCTCGTACTTTCTGGATGTTTGTACAATACAGGTTCTACTTCGTATCAGCTCTTCTCATTTTTACTCAGTATGAGTGTTGGGCTAATCGGAATAGAGTAGCATGTCGTGTCGCTGGATCCTCGATCGTAATCATTCAAGCATATCAAGTTGACGTGTTTACGTTCATGCGTAACACAGTTAGTTTCAGGGATGATAATAATCATCTTTCTAAGTAGAATTATCATTACCATTATGAAAACTTTCAATCAAGCTAACATATATTGAAATCATCAATCGATCACTGTTAAGCTACCATTAGAAACCTGACAACTAGAGCTTCTCATTCAGAACATCTAACTCAGAAAACACAACATTACATGAATGGATCAATAAATAGTCGTCATCGTGGGGATTGAACCCAATATCTTCGGTCTCGAAACGACCGTCCAGTTCTCTTGTGTTTCTAATAGTGGCCTAACATTGATCGATTGATGATTTCAATGAAACTCAACGACCTTCACAATCGTATAATGAAAAAATAATATATGTATATATATATATATATATGTTTATATACTTTTTTTCTGAAGGAACTTAATGAATTATTGCCATTAAGATTTGGAATCACCATACATGATCCAATACAAGACAATTTTATGAATAATGAAATTAAAACTGCTATTCTCAGCAAATATCCTATATTGTCTGAATATTTGTCAGCAGAATGTCTTCTGCATTTATGTACACATTTAACTGAAACGTCCTGTATTAATTTATGTTATTTGGAGAAAGAAATAGCAAACTCTTCTCAAACTATGTTTAAACATCTACTTCAGAATTTATTGAAACAGATTGATGGCGAAATCGATAGATTAATGCAGGAATATAAAGTAAGTTATTAAAAATTAATATGAAAATAGTGATATTTATTGAAATATTGTATTGTTTCTTTTATCGCATATCTATTTTGTTTTCTGTTTTTACGTCTACTGATAATAACATTCGGTTTTCACTTAGAGTTATGGAGATTACTGTTCTTTTAAACATTTGAAATTATCAATCAATCAGTTGTTAGACCACCATTAAAAACCTGGAAGCACTGGACGGCTGTATGTATATATGTTGGAAATTCTTAGTAGTAACCACTTGTACACTTATTATTTCTTGATGATATTATTGTTTGGGTAATACAATAAGAAGACGAAGGTTGTCAGAATTATGTGATAGATATATTTGAGCAATATATTCTGAACAAACTGATCATACATATACTTATCAAGTTATTATATTATAGGAAAATAATAAGTAAACTAGATAAATTGTGAGGTAAGAGCAAGTGAAAATAATGATAAAGTTTGGAATGTCAAAAAGCCATACTGGATAATGAACTAATATTGCCAGAGTAGGTTAATGGTAAGAAAAAAATGTTTCTGAACGTGTAAAGAGGGTTTCACTTCTCGTATAGTCAAGGATTCAGTAAACATTAATACATGTCCTTAAACACAGTTGTGTAGCAGCAAAAAACTTGACTTAATACCATGGTCTGTCTCTACTTAATGTTTTTTTTTCAGTGGAGGAAGATGTTCGTCTATTCTGTGATCTTATTTGACCACTGAAATTGGGGATGTTAGATCCTCAGAACTGGCTTGATAAAGTTCTTTATTTTGGATTTATTTCATGAACCAATCAGTTGACCTTGATATCGCATTTCTCACCAGGAAAATCCTTGGCTGTGATTGATTACTGTGTTATTTTAGTGTGCTATTTTTGTGAATATCCCAAGGATGTCTCTATAGAGTATAAATAAACGCAATTTGAGTGCTTGGATTCATTGCGTGCTGACTGGGTGTTTGTAGAATATACTTTCTACACTATATCAAGACTTCTTGTTGATTCAGTTTGGTCAAAGGATCACAGTAACCTACCTGGACGCTAGTTCATTGTTTTGTTCTCGTTATTCATCTAGCGTGAATTCGTAATAGTTTAAGCGTACCTATAAACGAGCGTAACAGTTTTTGCATCCATTTATTACTATTTTTATCGGAAACGCCTATTGGATTCTACATCAATTACTATAATTTTTAAGGTACTTAGCTGCAAACTTATCAGGCAAACAACATAACCATTAGTAGTGACACATGCTAACCTACCACGTTACCGCCGTATGTGTAGCCTTGATGAATTTGATTTCTAACCTCTGAGTCAATATTTTTGCGCAAATAAGTCATTTCATCATTGTGCATACTAAAAAAACCATATGATCCATTTATAGAATCTAGTAATAAAATCTATACAAAAAAATCTTTCAATACCTTGTTTTTATTTTTGTTTCCTAAAGGTAGCACATATTTTTGATCAAAGTGTAAAATGGGAATTTTCTTCAGGAAGTCAATCTATATTTAAACGCTCTGATCCTGATACACTATCCTATAATTCATTTGATCAATCCGATGAAATTCTCAAACAAACATTTTCAAATTATTTGAATTTTAACAATTTCAAAATTCAATTGTTTAAAATGATTAATTGTGAATATCAATCTATTCTTGAGAAAATTCATTTATTAATTGTCAATCTTGACAATGCAAAGAATTATGTACAACAGTTGAACAATGTATCAGTAAATGTCACAACTTCAATCCCCAGTGAACATAAATCTATACAAGTTAATGGTCTTGAAGCTGAATATTATTCTTCTACTATTAAAAAAATCAAAGGTTTGTTTTCAATTTGTTGTTTTTTTGTTCCATGAAAGTTTTTGGTCAGTTTATGAAATAATTTAATTTTGTGTGTGTGTGTGTTAGAAATTCCTTTTTTTATTCACTCTTCAACGAGTATAGTGTTTTGCTGAATTTTTAATTCTTAAGTGTAGACATTTTGATAGCGTAGATAGGAAAACGCAGTGGACGCTTCTTTGACACTACGGTGTGCCTGAGAAAATAGTTAACATCATACGGAATTCTTACGATGGATTCGACTGCAAAATCGTACACGAAGACAGCTAACAGACTCTTTCGAGGTGAAGATCGGTGTCAGGCAAGGTTTCTTACTCTCACCCTTTCTCTTTCTCCTGGTGATCGACTGGATTATGAAAACGTCAACATCTGGAGGGAAGCAAGGTATCAACTGGACAGTTAGGACGCAGCTGGACGGTCTGCTCTTCGCAGATGATCTAGCTCTCCTAGCGAACACGTAACAACAAATGCAAGAGAAGACGACCAGTGTAGCAGCAGGTCTCAACATACATATAGGAGAAAGCGAAATTCTCCGATGCAACACAACAGGCACCAACCAAATCACGCTTGATGGAGATGCCTTGGAAGACGTTAACACCTTTACATATCTTGGCAGCATCATCAACGAGAAAGGTGGATCGGATGCAGATGTGAGGGTGCGGATTGGCAAAGCAAGGTCTGCATTTCTACAGTTGAAAAATATCTGGAACTCCAAACAACTTTCAACCAAAACCAAAATCAGGATTTTCAATACAAATGTCAAGACAGTTCTACTATATGGGACGGAAACTTGGAGAACTACAGAAGCCATCATCCAGAAGATACAAGTGTTTATTAACAGCTGTCTACGCAAAATACTTCGTATTCGTTGGCTAGACACCATCAGCAACAACATACTGTGTGAGAGAACAAACCAGATTCCAGTGGAGGAGGAAATCAGGAAGAAGCGGTGGAAGTGGATAGGACACACATTGCGGAAAGCACCTAATTGCGTCACAAGACAAGCCGTCACTTGTAACCTTCAGGGCAAAAGGAAAAGAGGAAGGCCAAGGAACACATTACGCCGAGAAATAGAGAAAGACATGAGAGGAAATAACAAAAATTGGACAGAATTGGAAAGGGCAGCCGAGGACAGAGTTGGTTGGAGAAAACTGGTGGGTGGGCGGCCTATGCTCCATTAGTGGGTAACAGGCTTAAGTAAGTAATTAAGTAAGTGTAGACATTAGGAAATTGTTGTAGTTATGTGTTGATATCCATCTATAGACAGTACTATTCGGAACTGTATTTTTACCTACTAAATTTCACTAGTATGACAATAGTAGTCTTATAAATAAGACGAACAAATAATTCGTAACAATAAGTAGTGTCAAACAATTTTCACAAAACTCGCTTAAGATGATTGGAATTCGCCATAAAACACTTTACCTCATTTTCAACTATCAAATCAACTGAGACTGAGCAACTGAAATTTCGTAGAACCATGCATACATAACAAAACAACATTACAATTGATTATTCAAATAATCTAAAAATGATTTGACAAAATGTGATAAAAATGTGTTTGTTTTCTGACTAATACTAATCACTGGGGTACTTTTCTTTTGGCATAGAAAGTACTATTGTTACTTACTTACTTACTTACGCCTGTTACCCCCAATGGAGCATAGGCCGCCCTACTAGTTTTCTCCATCCAACTCTGTCCTGGGATCGTCCCCGTGACTTCCGAGGGAACTCGGCTTTCCTCACGCGACGTCATAATTCTTCTTCCAACTCCCAGGGCAGAGTTAAAATGGTTTGGATTATTTTTCCTGGTTAGCGTTTTTTTGGCAAGTTAGATTTCGACAGAATGGGGTCGCCAACCCCATGTCCAACCCTCCTCATTTATCCGGGCTTTGGACCGGCAGTAGCCCCTAAGGTTCTACTGGCGGATCGGTCCTATAGTACGTATCACCAGGACGTCAAACAAACTATTGTTAATGAAGTTAAAAATATTTTTCACTCTACACTTGGGTTTGAATAGCTGAGTAGTAGTTACATCAGCCCTTATTTAACATGTGTAGTTTTATAGGAGAGTTTAAAAACGTGTATTTATACATGAATTACAGTTCTATGAAAAAAAAGTAAACTATCTGTCGTAGAAGTAGTTCTGTATATAGATGAACAGAATTATTTATTAGTCAGTCAACTACAACGAAAACGAAGGGAATAAATTGATGTTATTAGAATTTATATTTGATTCATTGATTTCTAAAAATAAAAGATTCTTCTTTTTCTCAATGATAAACTCTTTAATGGAATTTAATTGTCATCTTTAAACAAGAAGTTGACTTATCGTATTTTTTTACTCATTATTTTTTTTAGCTGATGTTTTGAATTATGTTGAACTATGCCAATCTCGTGCTGCACAAATACTTCATTCAGAATTAGGTCGAGTACATAGAAGAGCTTGCAGACAGTTTACTAGTCAACTTCGTCAAGCTTTACTTGAAGCTGGAGCACCGATATGTTCTACTACTAGGCGTGGAAACTTTTATAATCGAGCTGGTGGTTTTACAAATTCGATTGATTCCAATTTTAACAAGAATAAATATTGTCATGTTAATAAAATCTCTGAAACTATTAATTTATCAGAAGCTTCTGACGAGAGTGATTTTCAAACTGTTACTACTTCTCCTACCCCAAAGTAATTTAAAGTTGTTTTTTTCTTGTCCGGATCGTTCGATTCACTTGGATTTAATGTTTAACGACTTATCTATTAGGGCAGGTTCTTTATTCATATCACAAATCGCCTTTATGCTTATACTAGTGATAGGGAGTGGAATAGTCGAGCGTGTAAACCTCTTCACTTATCTGGGCAGTCTCATCAGTGCTGATGGCCTGGTGACTGACGAAATCTCAGCTCGGACACAGGAGGCTCGATTGGCTTTCGCCAACCTGCGTCACTTATGGCGCAGACGAGATATCCGCTTGTTAACCAAAGGACGAATGTACTGTGCAGCAGCTCGCTCCGTCCTGTTATACGGATGCGAAACATGGCCGTTAAGAGAAGTGGACTTTTGTAGGTTACTAGTGTTCGATCATCGGTGTATCCGAAGCATTGCTCGTATATCGTGGGACAACCGAGTAAGCAATGCTGTCGTTAGGAAACGAGTACTAAATAACGATGGCAGATCAATAGATGAATTGGTGAAAATTCATCAGTTGAGGTGGTTGGGACATGTGTTACGTATGCCTAACCACCGACTGTCGCGACGAGCTATGTTTTGCAGTGTAATAGTAGGTTAGAAGAAAGTTGGGGGCGACCAAACCAAGACATGGCACAAACCCATGAAGTCACTGACAAGTGGACTGAGTCATGTTGGTAGATGTAGGCTACCTGGTTGGGGTCCGCGAGATGTTAGTATTCGACGGTTAGAGACCCTGAATGACATGGCTCAGAGTCGTTTGCAATGGTGCAGGTGCATCCACTCTTTGTGTTCTCTCTAATTCTAACCTGAATTCCTCATCATCTCTACCTTTCTCTTTCTAAATTTATCTTACTGAATTATACTTTTCGAATCATATCTTCTCTCCCTAATCTTCTCCATTACTGCTAATACTTTTACTATCACTCTTGGATTTGAAGTGACAGTTGCGTCTGTGTGCTGATGTGGTATGAACTGATATACTTACATACGAAGTTCTACATTGTATCTGTTTGTCTGTCTGTCTTTTGCTTATACCATTCATATCGTGTATAACAATGAAGATTTATTGTTTTTTGTGCTATACAAGTTTACTTAATTGACTAAACAGTACTTCAAGCTTTTCAAAAAATCGATTTCCAACCTGAACTTATTGTAGTAAAAGTCTTACTATATTAGTGTCACTGATTTTTATCTAGTGGTCTTAAATGGATAATAAGATCTCAAGACATACTTCAAAAAAAATATACAGGTTTATATAATTTACTGCTATCTAACCTTCGGATCCACTGATATTCTTTCAAAATCTTTCGACTCTATTAACACTTAGTCGAAACTTTCTTTCACTAACTATAATGTAAAAATGTTGATGAGATAAGTAACTATTCGTTGCACACACACTATTAACAGTTAAGTACTGTACTCATATTTTCTTAAATGTTCGTTCTATATATGTGCTGAATAATCCGTTTATTGTTATTTATTTCTCACTGTTTTAGTTCATATTCCGAATTGGAGTCATTACTTCACATTATTGATGAAGTTTGTGCTTCAACAGAGGCTAAATTTTATGCAGACACATTAACTGGATCACGTTTATTCAGTCAGTTCAATGTAGCAAAATCATTATCGGATGATAAAATTATTCCACAGACTTCAATCAATAATAATAATACATCTCTGTGTAATAATCTTACAACAATTTCATCTCATAACATTGTCACATATACTCCTTACATTGTACCTGACTGTAAACAGAATCAATCATTATCAATGTCATCTCATTGTTGTTCTCATTTTAAACAAAATTCTAATGAAAAATTATCAATCAAAGCTATAATACCTAATCAGTGTGGCAATCAAATGTATAGTACTAATCGTTTACTATCAGTAAGTAAGCTTCCCTGTATTATATATTCATTCTAATCATAATAAAATCTTATTATTTTTATTTGTATTTGCAATTGAAAAGTTTCAATGGTGGATTTTTTGTTTTGTTATTTGTAATGGTTAATCAATTAATCAATAGCAATGTAGAACTTCATAAGTACGTACATCAGTTCATGTTGCCATACCACACCAGCACAGAGATATAATTGTCAATTCAAATCCAATAGTAGTAGAGGTAGTAAAGGTATTAGAAGTAATCGGAGAGGTTAGGATTAGAAGATATTATTCAAGAAGTAGAATCTAGTGATGAAGAATTAAAAAAAGTTTAAGATTTAAGAGAACACAAAGAATAAATGCACCGGCGCCATTGCGAACGATTTTGAGCCATGACATTCCAACCTATTCCTACACTACAAAACAAAGTTCGTTGAGGCAGTCGGTGGTCCGTAATGATTAGTGTCTAAAATGTTACTGTCCCAGTCAATTGTATGTAAGACTGCACAGACATTTGATACAATGTCTGCAGGATTTGCTCACAGGTCAAATAGGCTATGGAGTGATTATATGATAACAAGCACAATTCTATCGTTTGTTTTATTTAACATGAAGTCAATCTTAATCTGTTGATCAATAAAAATATCTTTTTCGATGTATTTTTTTTTATATTATAAGAGTTACGAACTCATTCGTTTTTGTGAACGATATTAACTTTGAGTACCGATATTTTTGGGATGACAGTTATGGATCTATTCAAGTTTTATGTGATTATTTTATCGTTTTCCCGTTCTAGGTTTCCTAATTTTTATTTTTTTTTTGATATGTAGTACTTAAGTATTCAAAATCTATAGTGTACAATATCACAATAACTTATAGTATAGTATTTCTGCTGTGTCCTTTTGAAATCCGATTTGAAGAGTCAGTCAGTCAGTTGCAATGTAGAACTTCGTACGTCTGTACATAAGTTCATGTTGCCATACCACTACATTAGCACAGAGACGCAAATGTCAAATCAAATCCCATAGTGATAAAGATAGTAGAGGTATTAATGGTAATAAAGAAGACTAGGGTTTGAAGATATTATTCAAGAAGTATAATTCAGTGAGATAAGTTTAGAAAGACAAAGGTAGAAGTGCTGACGAATCCAGAAGATTAGGATTTGAGAGAGCACAACGAATGGATGCACTTGCGCCATTTGAGTCATGTCGTTCAAATTTGAAGAGTACACATAGTTTCTTAAATATTTCAATTATTCATTCCCATATTTGTTAATATCTAACAGTGTGTATTTAATGTTTTATTCTTCTTCATTAATATAGAGAAATAATTCTACTGTATGCTCAAATCATTTCGCTGAAGATTTATCATCTCACATAACCGCTTCAATGAATTCAATTGCTCTTCAACTGAAATCAAATAATGATAACAATTTGTGCAAACCAATACCAACTCCACGTGTTACACGTCTTCCTTCTGTCAATCTGATAAACCGATCACCGAGAACTATAATGAATGGCTGTCAAAACACAAAACCACCTGTACATGCACAACTTTATGAATTATTCGAAAGTTTTATTCCATCAACCAAGTAGTAGTAGTAGTGATATTATGACCAACATATACAATAGTGAAAATAAATAATTTTTTCGTACACTTTTTTTTTTCTTTGATCATTTTGTTGTATAATAATATATCGATCGATGCCTTATTTCTGTTTGATGAATAACGTGACTAATAATAATAATAATTTTTTGCTTACTGTATATTTCTTTACTGGCTTTCTTTGTACATAATTCGATTGTTTATAGAAAACCTATTCTTCTTCTTCTTTTTTTTAGTACTTTATTTTTCCCCGTGTTTTTTTTTTTATTTTTAGTGTTCAGGGATGTTAGTGTTTATGTTTCCCTGTTTTGAAATGTGCTTGTTGTATTTGACTTTCGGATTTCAAATTAGACATATCATGTTTTTACATGTTTTGTTATAATTGTATTTCTTAAGAGTGATATGTTTTTTTAAGATATTTAATATAGGTTTACTTTTTTAGGCTTTTCGTTGTTTCTTAGCCAACTTTAACTTTTTTCTAACCGTTCCAAGATAATAAGCCGAAGTGCTTCAAGAGTATATTTTACTGATTTTGGACATTAGTTCAGTGGGTGATGCGTAGACTTGTGAGGCGAAGGTACCTGGTTCTAGTCTTTGTGCCCCCAAATGCTTTGACGCTATTGGCCCGACTTAAGCTGCCACCTTGACGTGGTGGTCGGGCTTGCCACGATGCTGCCTTCTCACAAGGAAGGAAGGGTTAGAAAAGCTCGACCCTGAAAATATCACACCTCACTGATTTCCGTCTTCGGTGGTAAGGGTGCCAACTAAGGGCTTCCAAGAGCGTTGCTAACACTCGAAAAACTTCTCATCAAAATGCCGTGCGTGACCGGTCTCAAGCAGTTGTCCCTTCGGCACTGCGGTCAGGCTCCCAGGTCTCTAAGATCGACACTTATCTGCCTTCTTCTTCAGGTCCCTCAAAAAAGAACCTTCCACTGTGTGTGCAGCCGGGAAGTAACAACCGCACTCATACCCTTAACGGCACGCGAAACCGAGTTGGTCAAAATCAAATCCTTCCTACACTAGCTAATATCCCTCTTATCTCCACGATTAACTCTACTCACATTCCTTTATCTCACTGCGCCACTAATGCAAACGATGCGAGTTTACGAAACGTTATTCCTGGTTTCCTTAAACCCCGTTCTAGACTATATGTTGGAGCATTTAATGTACGGACATTATGTCAAATAGGGCAACAGTCTTCGTTAACTAGGACATTAGAATCTCGCTCAATCGGTGTATGCTGCGTCTCGGAAACGCGCATGCAGGATCCTAGAAAAAATTACTAGTCTGATTTCACCTTGTCAAAATAAAGAAGCAGATCGATTTACTCTTTCTATATCTCGAAACCCTGATGCTGCTTCCAGGGGTCTCGCTAACGTAGGCATAGCATTGAGTCGTAGAGCTCAACAATCACTCCTAGACTGGATCCCGGTAGATAGTCGCCTGTGCTCCCACTGACTGCAGTTCAGACGAGGTTAAAGATGAGTTTTACAGAAAGCTTTCGGACCCCCAAAAAGCTAGACGCTCCGATGTAGTAATAATGGCTGGTGACTTTGATGCTCAAGTAGGTAGACTAAGTGAGCAGAAAAGACACGTAGGTGGATGTTATGGTGTCGTGGCTCAGAGAACAGACAATGGCGACCGTCTGTTGCAAGTATGCTCAGTTAACCGCCTATTTCTAGCATACACTAACTTTAGGCATAAGGAAAAGCATCTGGCGACCTCCAAAGTCGTCTCAACGTTGGACGCAACTAGATCACATTGCCATCAGCCACCGATGGAGGGGTTCGATAGAGGACTGTCACTCGACCTGGGGCACATGTTTAGATTTAGATCATGCCCTAGTGCGAGCGCGTATTTGTTTGAGGTTTACTGGATGCAGGAAGAACACCTCCAGGAACCCTCCTAGGGTTTTATCTAATGATAACGAAGTTAAGAACATATTTCAGGAGCAACTAGAAAGAGAGTTAGGCAACTATGTAATTGATTCCCATCCAGAGGCAGCTTGGAATGATAACAAAAAGGCTGTGGAAACAGCAGTGATATCTAGTAAGGTAAAGCATATGGCTAGGATGAAGCCGTGGATCTCAGTAGCATCCACCGAACTGATGGACGCCCGAAAACATGATGAAGAACGAAGTCAGCTTAGGAGCAGGCTGATAATAAGCCTACGCAACGACCGTGAACAGTGGTGGGTGGAGAGAGCGAGAGAGATGGAAAAGGCAGCGGCGATAGGCAACAGCAGACAGTTGTACCGACTTATCAAGAAAACCGAATGTGAATGAGACTATCTAGAAAATGGATGGGACTATCATTCATTCACAATCCAGCACAGTTTAGGGACCAGTTCAACTGGCCTTCAGCCACACTTTGCTTACCCACGATCATGCTCTAGTGCGAGCTCGTATTTGTTTGAGGCTTACTTGACGTAGGAAAGACACCGTAAGGAAGCCTCTTAGGGTTTTACTTAATGATAATGAGGCTAAGAATATATAAGTCTAGAATGGAGCCATGGATCTCTGTAGCTGCCACCGATCTGATGGATGCCCGAAAACTCATCTCACATGACTCTGAACATGATGAAGAACGAAGTCAGCTTCGGCGCAGGCTGATAAGAAGCCTACGCAATGACCGTGAACAGTGGTGGGTGGAGAAAGCAAAAGCGATGGAAAAGGCAGCGGCGATAGGCAACAGTAGACAACTTTTCCGGCTTATCAAGGTAACTGGCATTAGGACTCCTAGTGTAAGTGAGACTATCTCAGGAAATTATAGGACTATTATTTATTCTCAATCCAGGAGACTGGATAGATGGGCAGAACACTTTAGGGATCAGTTCAACTGGCCTCGAGCCACTCTTCGGTTACCCACGATCTCCAGTCATCCTGAATGGCAAATCGACCTAAGTCCCCGTAGGCTTTACGAAGTTGAGAAAGCTATAGGAAATCTGAAGCGAGGACGAGCTGCAGGTCCTGATAGACTTACCCCTGAGATATTTAAGGATGGAGGTCCAGTTTTATCTGCTAGGTTGACTGAGATCTTAGGTAGAATCTGGGAACTGGATGTAATCCCATCTGACTGGTCTCAGTCCTTGATTGTCCCAACCCACAAGAAAGGACGCAAGTCTTATTGTGACAATCACAGAGGAATAAGTCTAACTAAAATAGTATCTAAAATATTGGCCTCAATAATACTTCGGCGCATAACGAAAGCTCGTGGAGAGCAAACTCGCGAAAACTAGGCTGGTTTTCGGCCTGGACATGGTTGTATAGACCACGTCTTCACACTCAGACAGGTCCTGGAACATAGACACACATTTAGGCGTCCTACAATAGTCGTTTTCCTGGACATAAAAGTGGCATTCGACTCAGTGGATCGTGAGGTTGTGTTGCAGTGTCTGTCATTGAAAGGTGTACCAAAGAAGTACATTAACCTTATACAAGCACTCTACTCGAACACCACTGGTCGAGTGAGAGCTTATGGCGAACTGTCACCGGAATTCTCTACATCAAGTGGTGTCCGTCAGGGCTGTCCACTCTCTCCATTCTTGTTTAACTTTGTCGTAGACATCCTCTTAGAGTTAACATTAAGCTCGTCAGATTTTTCAGGGGTTGACCTTCTACCAGGAAAGTCGCTTACTGATCTAGAATATGCCGATGACATAGTTCAATTCGATGAAGACGCTGACAATATGCAGAGTCTTCTGACTACCCTAAGCAACAATGCGAGCATGTTCGGGATGTGGTTCTCACCGTCGAAATGCAAAATGTTGCTTCAAGACTGGGTTGCATCGGCACCTGAACTAGTGATAGGGAGTGAAGTTGTCGAGCGTGTTGAACACTTCCTTTATCTGGGGAGTCTGATCAATGCTGATGGCCTGGTGACTGACGAAATCTCAGCTCGGATACAGAAAGCTCAATTGGCTTTTGCCAACCTGCGTCACCTATGGCCGTTAAGAGTAGAAGACTTTTGTAGGTTACTAGTCTTCGATCATAGGTGTCTCCGACGCATTGCTCGCGTATCCTTGGACAACTGTATAAGCAATGCTGTCGTTAGGAAACGAGTTCCAGGTAGGGACGGCAAATCAATCGATGAATTAGTGAAACTTCATCAGTTGAGGTGGTTGGGACATGTGTTGCGTATGCCTAACCATTGGTTGCCTCGAGCTATGTTTTGTGGTGTAGGAGTAGGTTGGAAGAAAGTTTGAGGCGGCCAAATCAAAACACGGCAGAAATGCATGAAGTCAGTGACAAGTGGACTGAGTCATGTTGGTAGATGTAGACTACCTGATTGGGATCAGCGAGACGAAAGTCACCAATGGTTAGAGACCTTGAACGACATGGCCCAGAGTAGCTTGCACTGGCGCCGGTGCATCCACACTTTGTGTTCTATGAAATTCTTAGCTTCTGCATTATTCATAATTCCTACCCTTCTCCTAAATTTTTCTACTGAATTATACTTCTCGAATCATATATTCGCTCCCTAATCTTCTCCATTACTGCTAATACTTCTACTATCGCTATCACTATTGGATTTGAACTGACAGTTGCGTCTCTGTGATGATGTGGTATGGCAACGTGAACTGATGTACTTACGTACGATGTTCTGAGTTATATCTGTCTGTCTCTCGGCTACTTTGTTGTGATATTCATTTTGAAAGGATCTTTGTGTTTATATATGTGACTGAAAATATTAGATGTTTCTGCAGCTTTTTGTCTTAATTTTACTGAGGACTGACATTTTGTTTCTTGACTTATGCTGTCTTTTATTTCTTCGAAGTTGTTTATGTCCATCTCTTCGTCTACACAGTAATTACTGACCACATAATTTCCTAAAATATGTATAGTTCCATCCGATAAGAGTATGTTATATCCCTTTTAATCCTTCGGTAGACTAGTCACGAATTTCTTCGGTTAGGTCAATGTTTTATCAATGGTTGGTATGCAGTTTATTAGTTTTTAAGGGATTTTGATAGTTTCTTACTGTCAAACACATAATCTTTTTGTGTTAGACTTAATCATTGCATGTGTGGTCTGATCCACAACCCTCTTATGTGAGAAAAAGTTAATGTAGCTCATTTTTATTCCTTATAAAGTAATGTTTTGCAGGGAATCACGTGTTTAAACTAGGGAATCAAAAACCTAGTATGGACTTTGTACACTTGTTTGAGTAGTGTGATTCGTACAGATTACCTTGGTTTTATTCCAGATTTTACCAACTGGATTTTCTATTCCTATTTCAGAATCTGGTTATTCAACTGTCGTCATGGTTGTTGAATCAGACGATTCTGGTTTCCGCCAACTAGAATACTTCTCTTTAGTTTCAAAGGTCTCTTTCTAAATTTATCTCACTGAACTGTACTTCTCGAATCATATATTCGAACTATAATCTTCTCGACTACTGCCAATACTTAT